TCATTTTATATTCACAACAATTCTATTAGGTGGGTGCTATTATCATCCATACTTTAAAGATGAGGAAACTGAGGCAGGGAGAAGTTAAGTGACTTCTCAGCATCACACAGCGAGTAAGTATATGACCTATTACCAATTTGATGGACAACAGAGTATTAATTTAAGCATAGCAACAGGACATTTTAGAAAAATAATTTAGAAGAATCTGACAAGGAAAGAAAGACACAGGTATAGAATCTGCACAATAACATATCCTTTTCCTATTTTTTTTAGGTTGGCAACTTAAACTATGTGGTAAAACTATTAGTGAAGATAGTAGAGATGCAGTTGTGTAGTAACAGTAAGCTGGCCTCAGAATTGGGAAGACCTGGGTTCAAGTCCTGCTTCTGACATATACATGTGACCTTAATGAAGTTCCTTAACCTTTCAATGTATTGGGCAACTCTCTAAGATTAATTTAATTAATCTATTAATTAATAGATGCTGAACAGCTTTGGTATGAACAGAGCTTCCTACACTAATAAAACCATAAGTTTTATCTAAATACGTGTGTGTGTGTGTGTGTGTGTAGCCACAACATTCAGGGAATTTGTATGTTCCAGGCTAGTCTTCTAATAATAACAATTCACTCTTGTTTGGGTTTTAAAGTTTATTGAGCATATATATCCTCATATAAATCCTACAGGTAGAGAAAGTATATTATTCCTGCTTTACAAAGAAGGAAACTGAGGCTTAAAGAAGAAGAATGACTTACCCACAGTCATACAGATAGGAAATGTCAAAGTCAAGCCTGGAACTTAGAGTCTTACGACCACAAGTGAAGTGTCCTCTCCACTCCACCGCACTGCTCTGAAGATGACAATGTAACAGTGACTGTGTCACATTAATTCGGAGACACAGAAGAGTCTTCTCCAGAAAGTATTATTTTTTCCCTCCACCTGTTGACTGATGCTTGAAAAATCATTTAAAATGGGAACAAAATCCTTCATTCACAATGAGAAATAAGGCTTAAAATGTAGGTGCCCTTGGGAAAGACAAGCCATGGAGTTAAATTCATATTAATCCTGGATATCAGATCCTTATCCAAGAGGTTTTTATAAAAAGGGAAGAGTGAGATAGCAACAGGACATGGGACTTGCTAAGGAAAAAGAGCAAGGGACCCCAGAAATAGGACAGGGTACATAAATAATGCACTAAAAACAAACTTCATCTCAACATTTTTGTCTAAGGCTGGCTCTGTAGATGTCCTTCACACATGTATACAAACACTGTCCATGAACACAGTGGATACTAAATAAATATTTCTCGACCTGGGTTTTAATTACTACTTTTAAAGTCATTCTTCCTATTCCCTCACTAGCTGAAGATGCATTTCCAAAGTCCTTCTTCCAATGCCAATCAAAAGGAAAGTTGGAGTCTTAAGACCTGACTTGAGTAGATTCCAGGGCAGGTATGGAAACATAAGGCTGCTAGGTGGTGCAGTGGATAGAGAGGCAAGCCTGGCATCAGGAAGATTCATCTTCCTGAGTTCAATCTGATCTCAGACACTTACTAGCTGTGTGACCCTGAGCAAGTCACTTAACCCTGTTTGCCTCAGTTCCCTCATCTGTAAAATAAACTGAAGAAAGAAATGGCAAATCACTCCAATATCTTTACCAAGAAAACCCCAAATGGGGTCACAAAGAGTCAGACATAACCAAAACAACTGAACAACAATAAAATGGAAACACAAGGAAAATATTAGAGTTCTGTCATTAACAAAGATAGTTGACCAATATGTATTGAGTATCTGTTTTACTCTGTAGTGTGATTTTATTTATATTTTTCCTTTCAATTTTTAAATTGCTACATGGAATCATAGTAGCTTTCTGGGAATGATTATACACATTTCTCTGAAATTCTCTGATTCTATCACTGTTTTAGAATTTTATGGGATTATAGAGGCCATCTTGTCCAATTTATACCTGAAGAGGAATCCCCCTGACAAAATACACTTATATAACCTCTGCTTAATAGCTGGGGTTTGGGGAGCTCACTACTTCATAAAGCAGCACGTTCCATTTTCAGACAGAGACCTGTTGTTGGAAATATCCTTCCATTGATTTGAAATCTGCCACCTCTCTCCCTCAACACACCCCCATAACTTGCCTTAACATCATTTCAATTCCTTTGTTCCTTACAATCTGCCATTGCCTAAATTAAGCTCTTTTATCCTAAGTTGTAAAGAGTTGTATGCTTCTTCTCCAAGGTATCATTCTTTATTAAAGAGGGGGAATAAATATAGTTTTCAGTTTTAACCAAAGGCAGTTCCAACACATAGCAGAGTTGCAAGTAGGATGGATTTCTATTTATGTATAACCAGGTCCAAACAGAATAAGTATCTACAGTGCAGAGTCAGAGCTGTGCCCCTATGCTTTCTGAACTGTTTAAATAGAAGGTTTCAATTGTGAAAAATAATAGGACAGCATGTTAGATGTGAAAATGAAAGAAGACCATATTTTAAACAGAATTTTTAGTAGGGAAAAAATCCTTGGTTTTTTCTCACTCCATTTTATTTTCTTATTTCCCTCTTTTAGATAAAGCATGGCATCCTCTAAGCAGCAAAATAGCTGCTTCCATTATTTTGTAGTGAGTCACTTTGAGACCCATTCAAATTCAGCATCAGTCCCCAACCTTCTTGTAGAAGAGTATTTTTTATGTATTTTCAGGTCTCTTCTGTGACTCTGTGCCCTTTAATTACTAGCAGGCATCTTTATATTTACACTATACTAGTAAATTCAAATAGTCAGCTACAGCTTTGACCCTCTGTGACCATGCATGAGAATTGCACTTACCAGAAGAATCCAGTCCATGTGTTCCTCCCTAACCCTATTACAGCACCAGAGTTCTGAAGGGAGACAAGAAAATCTGTGTGCATTAATACCCTTCTGGCTAAGCATGTATGGCATAAATGACAACATCTGTTGTCTTTTTTTGGTAAATTAATCATAAGAAACTATTCACTGGAAAAATGCTAGTGCTAACAATCTGGGTCACATTGGAGTTGGCAGCCACAGATTGAATTTAACCACTCTGCTATTGCCCCAGCCAAAACCCAAATCTTACTCTGTTGCCTCATTATGGCATGGAGGTGACCCTGAGTTCTCAGGGGCTTGGTTAAAGGAGTCCAAGCCCAGCAGGTGTTACCAAGCTGGAGATGCTTCAAGGATGAGCCCAGAGATGGAACACCTAGGCTGACTCAGAAAATAAACACAGTTTAAATTCAGAGAGGTTTATCACCAAAGGATCAGCCACCAGGCAATAATTTTTTTTGTCCATAGTAACTTAGAGCTAGCATTTATATCATGCTTCAAGGTTTGTAAAGTGCTTTGTATGTGTTAACTGGTTTGATCCTCACAATAACTCTGTAAGATAGATGCTATGATTATTCCCATTTTATAGATGAAGAAACTGAGGCAAATAGAGGTTAAGTGACTAGCCTAGGACCACACAGCCAGGAAGTGTTTGAATAAGGATGTGAATTCAGATCTTCCTGACTCCAGGCTCAGCATTCTATCCACTGTTCCAACTAGCTGTCTATTATTATTATATCAACATATATTGCCATTATTATGTCAGTATTTCTCTGTGTCCAAATACAATTGTATTTGTGCTGATACTCATAATACAGGGTCCAGGATAACAATAATTCACTCCATTTCCTTAGAGGGTCATGAGAATGATGTTGAAAAAAAAGAAAAGTAAAGAAAGTGGCATTTCTTCCTATATTTGTCGATTTTTATTTACTCATATATTAGCCAATCTAATCCAATAAGCATTCATTTATCATCTTCTGTGTGCAGGACACTCTACTAAGCCCTGGAAATACAGAGACAAAACACACACACATATACAAAACAGCCCCTGCCTCAAGGACTTTTGCCATGCTGGGGTAGGAGGAAGGTTATACAACATGTTAACATACATAGGTTCATGATCATTGGAAAAGGAAGAGAGCACTAGGGAAATCAGAAAAGGCTTTCCATTGTGCGTGGCACATGAGGAGGGGGTGTTCTAGGCATGGAGCGCACTCTATACAAAGTCACTGAGGTGGGAGAGAGAATTCGGTGTCAGGGAAAGAGTGAGTGAGCAAATTTGGCTGAAACAGAGTATTTGGAAGGTAGGAATCTGAATAAGCTTAGAAAGGTAACCGAGACTGTGATGCCCAAAATCAGGGCTAGTTTGGTAACACAGCCCCCTCGGAATAAGCAGGACAGTTTGGACCTCTGAAGTTCCGTTGATTCTTGGCTCAAGGAGAAGCATCTTCATCCTATTCAAGGAAAGGAGGCAATCATGGTGTTGAACCAGCAACCAAGCAGTTAAATTCTCTATCAGTCTACTGACAGATGACATTAGGAGCTGTCATCCTCCTTTTAGCCAATTTGAATCTTCACAAAATGAAATGCTTATGTAACTTATTGATTCGCAAAAACCTTCCTTTTTTAAAAATGGTAAAAATGATTTTATATATTTCAAGACATTTCATGGGAATTTTATGATTAGTCTGCAGAAATTTCAAGAGGCAAGGTTTGGGGACAGAGGGTCTTATTTTAAATGAAGCCTGTAATCTACTCAAGCAAATAAAAAAATTATTCCTTAGGTTTATTCTTTCCCTGAATTTAGGAGTTATATTTCCTAGGATTCCTGATACTATGTTTTTAATAGAAATTTTTCCAGATAACAGTCAATGTCTTGACCTTGGGGTTTTTCATGAGTGTTTTTAAGTGTCTTTCTATAGAATTTGGACTTCATTCTTCCAGCTTTTTAAGTTGATTCTTTGATATGTCCTTGTTTGATGTAAAAATGTGTCTGTCAGTGAACTTTGATAAACATGTTACCAAAAAAATTACCACTCTGTTTTGAAAAGTGTTAAAGAATTCTAGCAGAATTGAAATTTAATTTGCCAAGTTTCATTCACTACATAGGCTCATTTTCTTAATAGAATCTTTCTTTTCCTGCAGCTTCATTCAGATATGGACAGGGGTGATGGGTCTATCAAATACATTCTGTCAGGAGAAGGAGCCGGAATTGTGTTCACAATCGATGATACTACGGGAGACATCCATGCGATTCAGAGACTGGATCGGGAAGAAAGGGCCCAATATACATTAAGAGCACAAGCCCTGGACAGGCGGACAGGCAGGCCTATGGAGCCTGAGTCAGAGTTCATTATTAAAATCCAAGACATCAATGATAATGAGCCTAAATTCTTGGATGGACCTTATGTAGCCACCGTGCCAGAAATGTCCCCTGTAGGTAAGGTGATATTAAACACTTACTATCACAAATAATAACTGGCAAACAGACTACCTCCAATGAATTCACTGAGAATAAAGTATTATGCAAAACTTCTTATAAATTGTAAAGAAAAATTCAGAAGGTCAATAAATATACATATATATACAAGAAGATCCAATATGCAGTGAATTAGTTATGAGATGTGCCATGGAAACCAAGGCACCAAAAGGAAGCAACTACTCTCTATTGAAATCCCACTCAATACTTCATAATGTGGTAATAAAAGTCACTAAGGATTATTGTCCCTTCTTCCCAGACGTGATTTTAACAAAGTTCCACTCTCTTTTTCTCAGGCACCTCAGTTATCCAGGTGACAGCAACCGACGCCGATGACCCAACATATGGGAACAGTGCCAGGGTAGTGTACAGTATTCTTCAGGGCCAGCCATATTTTTCCGTGGACTCTAAAACAGGTACTATCCTACCACACGGGGTCAGAGAAGTGTGTTATGTTCCTTCAGTATTTTACAACTTTCTACTGTGGGATTAATGCTCATAATCAATTCCTCAACCAATTAAGAGGAATTTATTAAGGGCTTTTAAGGAATTTATTAAGGCACTGTGCTATAAGCTAGGGATACAAAGAAAAAGTTATGGAGTCTTAGAGTTAGAAGGAACCACAAAGGTCATAGCTAACCCACACCTGAATAAATAAATCCCTTCCAGAGCATACCTGAGAAGTAATCATCTACTTTCTGCTTAAACAATCCCAGTGGAGAAAAACTCCCTACTTTACAAAGCAGTTCATTCAATTTTCTGACAATTCTAATTGTGAATCAAAATCTGTGTCCCTGTAACTTCTAAGCATGGTTCCTAGTTCTGCTTTCTTAAACACTGGTCTCTCTCATGCTATGTGCAATTACAGCCAAAGATAGCATTAGTCTTTTGGCTGCCATATCACACTGTTCACTTATATTGAACTTGCAATTCATTAAGACCCCTCTGGACTTTTTCTTTTAACATAAATTGCTACTAAGCCATATCTCTGCCATTTTGTACTTACAAAAATTTTGTCTCAATTTAAGTGCAGGAATCTCTAGAGATAGAGCATTTAGAATTAAGAGAACAGAATAACATTGTATAAATAAGAACATGCACCACATAGGGTGATGTAAAAACTCTAATGGGACTAAAACACCTGTTTTCCCACCTTCCCCAGCAGTTTGCCATGATCCATAAAATAGCTACTATTACAGTCATGACTTTGGGCATGAAAAAGGCATCCCAATGAAATAAAAAGATCATAGAATTTGGCATCAGAAGAGACTTGGGTTTCAATTCTATCTCTGCCACTTAACAAATTGCTATGTGATTGCGGTCACGTCATATCCTCTCTAAGCTTCAGTTTCCTCATCTATAAAATGGTTGTAATAAAACTTGCCCAACTTACCTCACAGAGTACGGAAAGCACCATACAAATGGGAGTAGCTTTTGGTTTAGCTGTTAACTCTAGCAGGTTATTACCTAAACAAGGTCACATGTTAACCCATGAAAAAAATCACAAAAATGATTACAACATTTTCTTTCCTCCATCAAAAAATAGTAAAACCACCATCTTGGACCCTGACATTACAATGCCTGAAATGCTTACAGAGGGAGTACAAATGACCTTAAAGAGAACAAAAATAGGAAAAATGTATACACATACAAATAAATGTATGTATTCCATGCTGGAGGCAATACAATTGGAAGGGCACTGAGGGATATAGTTACAAGATACTAAAGGTGTGGAAAAATTCTCAGATCTTACTGATTTTTTTAAAGTGACCAAGAACATAATCAATTATTGACTTTTATGCCTATACAAAATGTTTATGAGGGCGATCTATATGAATTGAAGGCATTCTTTTTTTTTTGCCTTTTCTCAGAAATGTTTTATTTTAAAGATGTATTTTTATTGCATATTCCAAATAATAATAATAACCAGGAACAGAGCTGTTAACCAGCAATTTTGGCACTGGAGCAAGGAGCTTGAAAACACTCCTGGGGCAAACAAAACAAAAATGTACCCCCAGACAAGCAGTATAAATCAAACCCCAAAATCAACTATGTAACTCATGATATGAAAATGAAGAGAAAAAAAATCATTAAAACAAGGTCAGTTTAGCTGGAGAGCCAATCATTTACAATAAATGCTTGTAACTGCTGTAAAAGTTCATGTTCAATTTTTTGATCCCTTTTAAATTTCAGTGCTCTGACCCAAAGCCCAGCCAACCTACCCTAGTTACATCTCTGACTGGAAAATTGATTTTTCTTTTTTTTTTAATTTTTTATTAATTTATTTTGATTTATCAACAATCACTTCCATAAGCTTTTGAGTTTTAAATTTTTCTCCCCCTCACTCCCCATGACGGCACGCAATCTGATATAGGCTATACATATACATTCCTATTAAACATATTTTCACATTAGTCATGTTGTAAGGAAGAATTTGAATCAATAGGAGGAACCACCAGAAAGAGGAAACAAAACTCAACAGAAAAAAATAATAGCAAATAGTATGCTTCAATCTGCATTCAAACTCCATGGATCTTTCTTGGGATGTGGATAGCATTTTCCATTGTGAGACCTTTGGAGATGTCTTAGATCCTTGCATTGCTGAGAATGGCTAAATCTATCAATGTTAGTCATCACACAACGTGGCTGTTACTGTGTACAGTGTTCTCCTGGTTCTGCTCATTTCACTCAGGATCAACCTTCCAGGTTTTTCTGAAGTCTGCTTGCTCATCGTTTGCCATAGCACAATAGTATTCCATTGCATTCATATACCACAATGTGTTCAGCCATTCTCCAGTTGATGGGCATCCCCTCAATTTCCAGTTCTTTACCACCACAAAAAGAGCTGCTATAAATATTTTTGTACATGTGGTTCCTTTTCCCATTTTTATGATCTCTTTGGGATACAGCCCTAGAAGTGCTATTGCTGGGTCAAAGGGTATGCACATTTTTATAGCCTTTTGGGCATAGTTCCAAATTGTTCTCCAAAATGGTTGGATCATTTCACAACTCCACCAACAATGCATTAGTGTTCCAATTTTCCCACATCTTCTCCAACATTTATCATTTTCCTGTTTTATCATGTTGACCAATCTGATAGGTGTGATGTGGTACCTCGGCCTCATTTCTAAAATATATAGAGAATTAAGTCAAATTTATAAAATACAAGTCATTCCCCAATTGATGGTCAAAGGATATGAACAGGCAGTTCTAAGATGAAGAAATTAAAGCCATCCATAGTCATATGAAAAAATGCTCTAAATCACTACTGATTAGAGAAGGCATTCTTGATAAGAATATTAATAGGGAATTAGGAGGCTTTTGCAAATAATATTCAGTAAATAGAACACATTTTTATCACTTCATAGTTGACTAAAATATATAGAATATAAGAGATATAAGATATAGAGAATATAAGATCCCATTATCCTTGTTGTTTATTGATTATGAAAAAGTACTCAACTCCATAGAATGAAACGTCTATAAAAATGAGTTTCTTTTATAATAAGGTAGCTCCCATTCGTATATCAAGATCATTCAAGATTCCTTTAAAGATATGTAATGCAGAAATAACCATGTTCAATAACACTCTAATAACAAACATAAAAGTTGACCCAAAAGAACTAAAATAGGAAGATGATGGAGGCGATATGGCATAGAGTCCAGGTCAAAAAGAGATTCCTGGTGGACAATGAGGTCATGTACCTGTTTATAGATAATATTGTTTTGATTATATCTAGCCCTAAGACATTAGAGAGAATCCTGGAGTTCTGTAATCACTCACAAAAATTTGGCTCATCTATCCACACAGTAAAGACTACTTGAAGGAAGAATGTCAGTTACTCAGATTTCACCATGAATCTGAATGGACACTCCATAGAGTTTATCCAACAGTATGCATGTTAAGGACAGACAGTCCAGAAGGACAAGGAGCTGGGCCCAAAGCTGATGAGATGGAGAGTATATTGATTTGGTTTATGAAAATTGCAAAACACTTCAACTGAACCCAACCTTGCTACAATAACAATGGCCCACCCTGGCAATACAAATATGTTGCCAGTATTATTATATTTCAGCAAGATCTGGAATACTACTGCTTCTGAATAATTGAGGATAAGCAAAGTACAGTGAGCAACAGAAAAGTGTATGGCAGGCATGAGCAGGCTCCAACATATGACCAGTGAGGAATGCCTAAAATGATCAGGAGAACTGTATGATGGAAAAAGGAGATGCACTGGTCACATGGCAAGAGCAAAGGGTGTCCAATAGACAACCAGAGTGTTCCAATGGCATCTTCATGATACTGGGAAAAGATGAGGAGATCCTCCAGAACATTGATTGGAATACCTATAGAAAGCTTTTGGTCAGTATGGATGAGGCTCACACAGTAGGGGCAGGCAAAAATGGCTGCAATATGTATATTTGGAGAGAACTCTCAAATCAGTAAGTAATAGATCCTTTTGAATACTTGAGTCAGCTCATTAACATCTTCATGCTAGAAACACAGAATATTAGACCTAGAAGAGACCTTGAAACCCATATAACCCAACACCTTGTTTTTATGGTTGAGACCTGTAATTGTTAGGTAAGTTGGTCAGAGTCATACAACTAGTTAGTGGAAGGGCTCAGATTAGAACTCAGGTCTCTTGATTCCCAGACTGGTATACTTGCACACTACAGTATGTTAATAAAAAGTAAGAGCCTCCATAAGGAATGAGACATCAGTTTTTGAATGGAGAAGAAAGACTGGGAGCATGTGAACATGCTTCTGACAAAGAATGGAATAACACAACATGGAATCTCAAGGAAGGAGTGACAGATGTAACATGAGAGTTCTGCTTACTTCAGAGGAGAATCATGTTTCTCTGCAGAAGGAAAGGTAATGAGGATATCACAGGAAAACTTGATTTTATATTATTAATAAACTAATAGAAATTTGTTATTTTCTTCCAAATCCTAAAAAGAAACTTTATTCACAATACACTGAAATGTGACTGGAGAACACATTGGTAAGATGATGCTACTAAGTCCTCTATATCCTAAGAGAAACTACAAATTATTTTGACAGCTCCCAAGGGACATCTGTAAAGTCAAGGTCAAAAACACACAAAGAGGATGCCCCAGGAGGGCAAAGAGAGCATTTAAAAAGAAGAAATTCTATATATTTCATTTTAGAAAATTACCAATTTAATTCAATATGAATATTATATGAATCAAACTAGAAACCGTTTCTTTCCTTTTCCATATAAAAATACTGTTTAGTCACAAATGAGATTGTAAATCTTGGAATGAATAAACTTTTCATCTTTCTTTCAAGTCCATACTTAGTACTTCAAATGAACAGAGAGAACATGTTTCCCAATTGGCCACTGTTATATAATGGATCCATAGCAGGATCTCAACAACATATTCCAATGCATTATGATTTCAATCTCATTTCTTTCTTAAATGAAGCCTATGTCATCCCACAGCCGTTCTGCTGTTGTTTGGAGAGATTTATCCTCTATGCTTGTTAAAAATAAACAACTCACAGAGCATCCTGCATGTCTCAGGTTTACTGAACATAGTACACTGTGAGCTTGAAAGTAAGCAGAAAAAAAAGCAAACTAGGAATGACTAAAAACAAAACAAAAAGGGAAATTTCTCCCCAAACCCAGCCTCACCTTCCTGTGGATTGAGGAAGTGGGAAGCAGCAAGGCAGGAAAAGATTAAAGAAGAGGAGATTTTTACTACATTGGAAAAAGAAAAGAGGAATTTTCTAAACGTCAAAAGAGGAGTAGCTCTCTGATGCTCTATTCTTATGACCAAAATTCATTATCTTTGGTAAGTCAGAACAGGCAGTTAAGTGTTGGTTTCAGTTTCCTGGGTCTATGAGAAAAGTACTGCTGCCACCTGGTGTTCCTTTTCAGTAACGTGACCGAAAGGAAAAGGTCTCGTTTGAAGCTGACTTTGCTGAAATATTTGGGGATAAGGTCAATAACACTTACTAACTGATGCTTCAGAACTCCAGTAATATGAGTAATCTCTATTTTGATTTAGTGCTTACAACACATGACCCAAGGACTATTTTTTTCCAAACTGGAATTGCGGTTTGTAATTTGCCTTCTTAAGAAGAGACTTTTTGCTATCCTGCAGGTGTAATTAGGACAGCACTCATGAACATGGACAGAGAAGCAAAAGAATACTATGAAGTGATTATACAAGCCAAGGATATGGGAGGACAGCTCGGGGGATTGGCGGGAACAACCACCGTCAACATCACCCTCTCCGATGTCAATGATAATCCACCCCGATTTCCACAGAGTATGTATATATCAAATATGCTTGTAGAGTCCATGTTAGCCAATGCTGGGATGAAATTGAGATCTCTCTCTGCTATTTACCCAATAAAGACACTTAGTCATTGTTCTAGATCTCAGTTTCCTAAAAATGAGGAAACCAGACTAAATGATCTCCAATATCCATTCCATTTCTAGATCCTATGCTTAGGTTTCCCTTCCAAATAATTTTGAAAAATAATTAGATTCACATAAATTCTATTAGGTTTGGAAACTGTATCTTCTTCATCGATGTTATCCTCTCTCAGCCACCACTCTCTTCTTCCAGATCTCAAGCATTAGAGCAAAATTGTCAATCACTTTAGCTTTTGAATTATCAATTAATATTTATCAAGCACTATATTCCAGACAATATGGGGAATTCAAAGGTATATAAAAGAGACACCTTACTCTCAAGAAGCTTGCAATCTACATGGGAAAATGAAAGATGTACACATTTTAAAAATCAAATAATTACAAGGCATTACATTATAATTAGCAAATCAATAATAAAGATCATATATAACATAATGATATAACATGACATGATATATTATAATATAACACAGTATAATATATAATATATCATAACATTTGACATGACAAAACATACAATAATATGTATGATATATGACATGATGTAATATATTATAATAACATAATATAATGTAATATATGCTATAGGCATTTAAATGAGGGATTACTCTTACCAGAAAGGCATAACTTGAATGGGGCTTGAAGAATAGGAAGGAAGGAGGTAGTTCCTGTAGGATAAAGCAATATTAAGTCAATCTATCTATCAATCAATCAACAAATCTTTATTAAGTTCCTACTATGTGCTAGGCATTTTGCTAGGTGCTGAGGATACAGACAGAAATGAAACAGTCCCTTCCCTCAAGGAGCTTACATTTTATTTGGGAGAAGATGTATATATAAATGAGTAAGTACAAAATGAAACAAGATAGTTTTTGGTGGAATTAGTCAACAAGTATTGATTAAGCACTAATTACATGTCAAGTACTCTGCTAAGCTCTGGGAATACAAATATAAGTAAAAAGGAAGACAACCCCTGCCCTCAAGTTACTTACATTCCAATGGAGGAAAACACTTAAAAGAAAGCTAAAAAGATGCAACAGAGGTGAATGGGGAAAGGGGATGGGGACAAGGTTGAGAGAGGAATTAAAGATGACTGGAATGTGTCAAACCTTGGTGAGTAAAATTATGATACCAATAAGATATGTAGAGAAGTCATTTAAAGGAAAAGATGGTTTTGGGGAGAAGATGATTATAGTTTGAGATGTATTAGCTCTGAGTTAAGGATACTTAGCATTCAAATAGAGATTCCTGAAAGACTATTAAACATACAAACTAAGAGAGTTTGACAAAACGAAAGTAAAGGGGGAAGGGGAATCTTGGGGAGGGAACAAGCATATATTAAGCACCTCATTATGTTTCAGGCACTGTGCTAATAGCTTTACAAATATTATCTCATTGACATTTCCTCAAACAATGAATCTGTCAAAACATACATTGTCTGGAAAGACTGTCAAGAATCCAAACTAATGTGTGAAACAAGTGCCGTGAAACTCTGAAGTAAAGGTATCTTATTATGCTGTAGTTATACTTCAAGGGAAATCCTATCTCTACCAGCAGACAGTCAACAAGCATTTATTAAGGACTTACTATGTGCCTGGCACTATACTAAAAAGTAAGGATACAAGCAAAAAGAAAGACAGATCTTGCCCTTAAGAAGCTTGCATTCTAATGAAGAAAAGGCAGATTATAAAAGTGGAGGGTGGGGGAAGGTACCCACACTAGGGCATGGCATTAAAGGTGAGAAAGTCAGAAGCACAGCCAGGATAGGAATGAAGGTCAACCTGCCTGGGCTCATCTGCAAAATGGAGGCACAGGAAGGAACTCACCAATGGGAAATGGGGGATAGCATGGCAAGAGGGGTATTCCATGGTGAGAAGGCTGAAAGAAAAATTGAATGTTCTAGGGCAGGGGTGGAGACCCTTGCAGCCTTAAGGCCACATGTGGCTTTCTAGGTCCTTGGGTGCGGCCTTTTGACATAGTCCAAGTTTTAAAGAACAAATCCTTTTATTAAGAGGATTTGTTCTGTGAAGTTTGGACTCAGTTAAAGGACCTCATTTGAGGACCTAGAGGGCCACATGTAGCCTCGAGGCTATAGGTTCCCCACCCCCGGACTATAGCAAGGCCAGTTTGCAGAAAAAAGAACTTACCTGGGTGTGGGAAACAGATAATCTGATAGCATCCTATTTTAACCAATTATTCATGCTAAGTAGGTGCTAAGTCCAGCTTCTGTCTGGCAAAGGAGAACATGGCAGTGTCAGAGTTGTCTAGATTTTGATATCTTGGGGTCAAAGCCCTAGTTGCCTTGACCTCATTATGGCTTTGTTTGCCTCGGTTTCCTCATCTGTAAAATGAGCTGGAGAAGGGAATGGCAAACCATTCCAGTATCTTTGCCACAAAAATCCCAAATGGGATCATGAAGAGTCAGATATGACTAAATAACAATGAGAAAGTAAAGGGAATTTATGATGTAAAGTAAGGCAATAATAAAGTAAAGGAAATGGCGCTAAATGAAGAAAGAAAAAACATCTGCAAGCTATTGAGAATGCAGGGAGAAAGGAGTTTATATGTGGAGGACACTGGGAAGCACATAGTCTTAAACCTTTTTTGTTGATTTCCATTTTGTTTTTAATGGAATATAATCCATAGTTTCATTCTGTCCATCTTTTCCATCAGTTATTTGACTTTCAAGAGAAGAATGGAGGGAATGACTGAAATACAAAGGCATCCATTACTAAATCTGTGGTCCTTTGGTCCCTTTCAGATGATGGAGTTGGGGAGTAGGACTAACTTTGGTGTTACTGATTCACTGTATTATGTTGTTCAGAATTGTTATATTTTAAAGGCCAGGTGCTAAAGTGCCTTAGGCATTGGACTTGGAGTCAGAAGACCCGAGTTGGAATCTGGCTTCAGACGCTTATCAGTTATATGACCTTGAGCAAGTGGCTTAAGTTCTCTGTGCCTCAGTTTCCTCATTTTTTTTGGCAAGGGAATTGGGGTTAAGTGACTTGCCCAGTGTCACACAGCCAGTAAGTTTCTGAGGCTGAATTTGAACCCATGTCTTCCTCACTCCAGGCCCATGACTCTATCTACTATGCCACTTAGCTATGTCCCTTTACTTTACATCATTATTATTTACTCTTATGATTTGCTAAAGCCAAGTTCAAGTGAGCTCCAACTCCTTCAACACTATCTTCAATTATTTCTTCTACTTCAGTAACATTCTGATTTTTTATGCCATTGTTGATGGAAATCATTTTTGTTTTCTGCTTTCAAAAATTCACGGCTACTCACTGTAGGCTATTGATAAATGGAAAACTTAACATCTCATAGTTCACTAATTTTTATTTAACTGAATATTATGAAGTTAAATAAGTAGGAGCCCTGGTACTTCCCTCATACTTTAATAGAATATGCATTCAGATTATAAATGTACATCTGAGTCAGTCAGTAAACATTTATTTATTAAGTATCCACTACCTGCCAAGCACCCATGACAAGTGCTGAAAATATAAAGGCAAAAGACAGACTGTGTCCTCAAGGAACTCATAATCTAATGATTACATATACATGTTTGTAGACAGGAAACACTGGATTGGGCATCAGGAATCCTGAATTCTCCTTAAGGCTTTGCCAAAAACTGTGTAGGTAACCTTAAACCAGGCACCTGTTGGCACATCACAACTACCCTCCTTCCTAGGCAAGAATCGGCCTAAATTCTCATTATACAAGGCAATGTGTGGTTTAGTGCCGCCTTCTTTCCCAAAACTGTCTGGAATTGAGGGTCTCTGTATTCAGGCTTGGTTGTGATTTGGGAAATGCTTTAGGAGAAAGACCACATTCTTAGGAAAAGCGGTTATATATTTTTCTTCATTATTTAGTTATGACTCACTAAATAATGAGGAATTGTTAACAATTTAGCTTCCTAAAGGCCAAATGTTTTCACAAAGATAAATATCCACGGGCCTGGAAACAAAACAAGGCAGATTGGGATCTATGTCATGATGGAAAAAAGGATGGTATTACCTTGATGATAGATGAAGTCAAAGCTAGCAGGGGGCTACCAGGTAATCCTCTCACAATGACAAGCACAGCTCTGTACTCAATGTTTTCCATTGACCTGATCCTGGAACACAGAGAAAAGGATACCAGAGACTTATTCCAAAGGTAGGCACCTTTATTAGGGTGCTATTGCATCAGTAATTCCATTTAGATTCTATTTCCATACCTCACCTGGAGCTTGGGGAAATTCACTCCCCGGCATGCAAGACTTACATACCCTTTAGCACTGGGAGGGAGGTCCTATTCACCAGCATGCAGGGCCCACTGTTCTACGCAAAGAGGGGAGATGTAGCTGTGGGTAATGTCTGCAGAGCAAACAAGTGGTTAGTTTTTAAGATCTATTCTATACTTATCTTGAAGACAGTTAAGAATTAGTTGATGATGTATTGACAAAGCTGTTTGGGGAGACACCTAAGTTTAATCGAAAGAAGTAAAATACTGGCACATAATGATAATTCTTCCCAAGCCAAAAGCAATATTTGTGTTTTAAAAGGAATGAGGCACACTCACTGGATCGAGGACTCATCTCTCTCCTTCTCTGCTCTGCTGCCACAGCAAATTTATCTTGGATGGATTCTGTGCATCTCATTTTTACAGTTCTCGGTGTTTTGATTTGCTGTTGAGACTTACAATGTTAGAGACAAAATGGACTTGGAGATCATTAAGTCTAACCCCATCACTTTATAAATGAGGAACTGTGGCCCAAGGAATTTAAGACACACATACAAAGTCACTCCACTACTGAGGCACACTGATTCAGGCAACAACTTCTGGTTGAAGCTCAACCAGAAGCAACAAATAAGAAAATGTATGGAAAGTGTTCTGTAAACTTTAAAGCACTATGTAAACATTAGCCAGAAAACTAGGAGACTAACACTTTATACTCACCACCCCACCCTACAGAATAACACTGTAGCTTATGGTTTGTCTTGATGACTGGTGGGTTGCTCTATATAATACCTGTGTATTTTCATATTGACACAGTCAACAATTTCACCTTTCCACCTCTCTTTTCAGAGCACTACCAGATGAGCGTGTTAGAATCAGCTCCAGTTAGTTCTACAGTGGGACGTGTATTTGCCAAAGATCTGGATGAAGGAATCAATGCAGAAATGAAGTACACCATTGTGGATGGAGATGGCCTGGACACCTTTGACATCAACACGGATCCAAGTTTCCAAGTTGGCATCATAACAGTTAGGAAGGTAGCATATATTCTCCTATCTAATCACTTTTTTACCTAAGGAAATATATGAAGTGCTGGTGATTATCATTCACCTTTATATAGTGTTTTATGGTCTACAGTAGGTAGTAATGACCATATGAAGGAATGAATGAATTAACATGAAATAAGTGAGATTATGTTGCAAAAAAAAATTCTCTAGTTCTTGCCTACATGTGAAAATTGGTTGTGTCTTCATTTTACACAGAGGGTACTAGGTCATTAGAAAAGTATATAAATATGTCATTTCTCCATACTAATTTCCCAATTCACTCTTTACCCATTTAAAAAATCTTTGTCACTTAATTATCCAATGACGTGAATGATTTGATCAATATTTGCCTTGAATAGCACACATTTTTTACTCTAGTGTATCATAAATAACAATAAAGTGAACCATAAAATTATTTATACATCAATAAATAATATGCAGGGGATTTTTAATTGCTACTTGAAGATCCATAAATGCTAATGAGACTTGAAGAAGCTTTATCAAACATGACTGCTTAAGTGATTTTTAGCTCTAGGTAAGACATCACTGAGCCCAAGAAAGCATGATTCTGAATATAGGCTATGAACCCAAGCTGGAAGATGAATTCTGTCATTTTTTTTTTAATTCTTAAATCTGATTAGCTAGGAAAACATATTATTAATTTTAAAACTCAATGAATTATTTTTTAGGAGAGGAATAAGGATTGGACCTGTGATTTCATCAACATAGTAACATCAGGTGAAGAAATTCCTTCACCAATGCAAATCAGCACCTTCCTCTCTGCTCATAGTCTTAGAGAGCTTTGAGTGACTTGCCCAGAAAAACTCAGCCATGATATATCAAATCTGGGTGAGACTTGAACCTAGATCTTCAGGCCAACTTTCTATCCACTTTACCACACTACCTCAAAAAACTCTATTTTCAAGTATTTTGAAGGGTATGTAAATTATTTTCAAAGGGTTTGAGCTTCATAAAAAATCTTGCATTAGAAGCAGAGCCATAACTAGGGCAGGGTGATGAGAGGCTGTCCCCACAGTGCCAAACTATAAAGAGCATCCACAGCACTTAACAGTCCTTCAGCAGAATAGAAAGAGTTCAGGAGTTTCTGACCCCTGGTATCCTGGGATCTTTCCTCACCTTCAAATGAATATGTCTTTAGGAGTTAATTTGAGGCTTTCTTTTGTACTTTCTCCTCCCTCCTCCCCAAGTGCAAAAAAATGGTTAGTTATGGTTCTGTTTAGAAGATAATAAGAATTAGCTGAACTTATATGGCTTTATAGCAGGGAAAGAATTGAGCAATTAATAGAGAAACAATCAGACAGATATACAGATAGACTATGATGGAGCCAATTAGATAATTGGATAAACTGACTTTTGCTCTATCAACTAGAAATGGCTATTAACCAGCCTGACATATATATATACATATATATATATGTATGTATATGTATATGTATATATGTGATATATATATATATCACACATGTGTATATATATCACAATTATCACACTATCTATCTATCTATCTATATAGATATATATATATAGTGTGATAATTGGTGTTCAAAATGATGATACTAAGGTTTTGCAAGACCCTAAAATACCTTCTGTATCATCAAAGAAATGTTGAGTGCAATTTTAGTATCAGGGTATTTTATTATATTCTAATTCTTTTAAAATTGGTAATGCATGTCTGGTACTATAAAGTAATTAGACTCTTTTTCATTTGTGACTTGTAGAATCTGCTTCATTACCGTATAATCACACCTCATATATGGCAACTCTCAATTAATTAAAACATTTAATTAATGTGGTGAAGTGGATAGAGAGCTGGCCTATGAATCAGGGAGACCTGGGTTCAAGACCTGCCTCTGCCACATACTGGCTGTGTGACCCTAGGTAAGTCAATTAACCGCTCTGTGCCCCCGAGCAACTCTCTAATACTGTAAATTGCAGAGAGGTGCCAATTTGCATTGGGAGGAGGAGAAGTTCTCACCTGGAACTTGGTATACTAGATATCAGGTCCAAATCAACAATCAAAAAACTTCCTTAGATCACACCAGATGAGACTGAAAGTTTCCTTCATTTGCCAATTTGTGATTAATAAAATTCACTTTATGCATTTAAAATTCTAACTTATCTTTTAAAAGTAATAGATTTGGGAAAATGTCTTTCAAAGAAAATTTATAGCAGAGATAGTCAACATGTGAAAAAGAAAGTAGTGGTGACAGATCACTTCATCAAGAGGGTGTCATCAAGAGTGACTGACCCCAGTGCCTTTTTTGTCAGGCTCACTTACTGGATTGACACAACAGCAGAATGCTATAGATGCTATTCTACATAGATTTTAGCCCAACATTTGGCAAAGTCTCATAAAAGTCTTTTAGAAAAGATCAAGAACTATTACCTTGTTGTTGTTCAGTCATTTCAGTCATGTCCAACTCTGCATGACCCCATTTGGAATTTTCTTGGCAAAGTTACTGGAGTGATTTGCCATTTCCTTCTCCAGCTCAATTTACAAATAAGGAAACTGAGGCAAACAGGGGTAAGAGACTTGCCCACAGTCACACAGTTAGCAAGTGTCTGAGTTTAGATTTGAACTCAGGTCTTCCTGACTCTAGGCCCAGTGCTATATTCACTGTGACCTCGGCATTAGTGCAATTAAGTATATTAAGAAAAAGTTGAGTAGTCAGACACAAAGAGCAGTTGTTAAGGGTAAGAAGTCAGTTTAGATGGGCATCTCCAGTACAGTATTTCAGGCATTTGGGGTTGGACTTGTGCTATTTAATAGAGAATCATAGATTTCAACCTGGAAGAGATCTTAGAAGTCAGCAAGTTCAATCCCTTCATTTTACAGATGAGGAAATAATGAGGTAAGGTGACTTGACCAAGATCACAAAGTTATTACATAGTAGTGCCAGAATTGGAACTCAGGTCTTCTGACTCTTACTGCTGTACTCTTGGATAAAGCATAAACCTACAGAAGACACACTAGAAAGAATAGCTTACACCTTGGATGCCAGAGTAAGGAAGAGAAAAGACCTCAAGAGGGCAAGAGTTAATGGCAGTGGACTTAATCTAATAAATGGGTATAACTGTAGTCTTTAAACTTGAGTTCAAAAATTAATTTCCCAATAATATAATAGGAAAGCATAGCTAGAATTCTGCTTTTTCCTGGATGGTAGAACTAGGAACAATGGATAGACATAAAAATTTTAAGTTTGATACATGGAAATACTTCCTGACACTTAGAGCTTCCCCAAAGTGGAATAGATTGCCTGGGGAAGAAGAGGTTGAACCTTATTAGAGGTGTTCAGCCTAAGACTAAATGACCCCTCTTAAGGGTATTTTATATAGTTTCTTTTTCAGGTATATGATATTCCAGAGTGCCTCTGAGGTCCCTTCCAACTCAGAGATTCTATAATTCTCTAACAAACTAATATTTATCCCTTCTATCAAAATATCATAAAATAGCTTAAGCCTCAGGGAAAAAAAATAGCCACTCTAGAGCCGAAAGAAGCCCTAAATGATAATATTTTCCAACCTCTTACTTCCAAGCAAGATAATATCAACATTAGACAAGACAATGGATTATCTATTTTTGAGACCTTATAGAACTTCATCCTCATTCTGACAAAATATGTATCAAATCTGTCAAGATCATTTTCAATTCTTCTCCTATATTTTAAGTTTTTGTCACTCTGTCCTAACTTGGTTTCAGTATCAAACCTATTGACCATAACCTCAATGTCATTATGTAAGTCACAAATAATATTTTAGATAATACTATGCACAGAGCCCACCCACGTGGGACAAAACCCTGCTGCTTATGCCAGGCCATTCCTTCCTACCTTGTTATTAAGAACATACCATGGATCAGAGCCAAACACCTTCCTGAAACACAGATCCATCACATCGACTGTGTCCCACCAGTCTCCAAAGATTGTCACTCTTCCAAAATAAGAACCTGAGTTGTTCTTATCAGATTGCCTCTTCTCCATAAAGTCCCACTTATTCCTACCTGGCACTTTACACTTTTCTTGTTGTGTGAATCATTAATTAACTGATTGGTTAACATATTAGGAATAACCAAAGTTCAGTTATCACCAGAATCATTTCAAGGCCTAACTTTTTGGCCTTATTTTTAAGAAGAGGGTAGCATTTGCCTTTTCCCAGTTTTCAATCACTTCTTTGTAGAATCATAGGATTATAAAATGTTGGTGCTAGAAGTGATTTCAGAGATCATCTATTCACACACACAAACACACACAATTTGACATATGGGAAAACCGAGGCCCAGGAAGGACATGTCCTTCATTAGAAGTATAAATATTTGGAGATTCTCACATGGATATCAAGAGGTAAAAGTAGGAGAAAGTAAGTGTGCTTTATTCATCAACCATGAGGCATTACTTTGAGGAATGGACAAGAAGTTTTTTGCATTACTTATGTGATTATTCACCATAAATGATTATAGTACCTAAAATATTTCATTCCATATTAATGTATTTTATTTAGTGCTTTACCTTTTCCAAAGAGTTTTCACATACATTATCCCATTCAATACCCACAACAAATCTATGGTATAGGCATGGTGCACAGTATTTCTATTTTACCTATTTTATTGATGGGTAAAATGAAGATTCTGTGAAGTTAAGTGATTTTCCCAGGGTCACACAACAGCTCATTAACAGGGCCAAGATTTGAATCCTGCTCTAATTATAATGTCTGTGGTTATGATGCTAAATATCTACTTAATTCTAACTAAACACTTTGCATCTATTTCAAAATGAAACTTTGGGGTCTAAATGATACACATTGAATTTGTCAACATAAGAATAATTCACTGTATTTCTTCCTAGTCTACATTTTACTTTTTAATTTGTTCTACTTTGTTACCTCATTAGGAGGCAAAGTAGTATAGTAGATAGAGCAATATACTTGGAGTCAAGATAAGCTAAGTTCAAATCTTACATTATCTACTTGATAACTGGATGACCCTGGGCAAGGAACTCAATCTCTCTATGCCTCAGTTTCTTCATCTGTAAAATGAAAGCATTGGATTCAATGATCTCTAAGGTTACTTACAATTCTAAATTTATGATCCTAAGTTTAATTCAACAAGGATTTACCAAACACTAATATGTGCTAGGCACTGAGGATGCCAAAACAAAACTGACCTTGCTTGCAAGGATTTTATACTCTACTTGGGGCTCCTAAACTATGTGTAATTTGGATGAGGGGGAGCCCTAACAACTGGGGGGATTCAAAAGGGCCTCATGTAGACGATAGCACTTGAGCCAATATCTGGATGGACCTAGAGGTTCCAAGAGATGAAGATGAGAGGAGTAGGGCAGGCATGGGAGACAAGTTATGTAAAGACATAGAGCCAGAAGAATATATTTGTTTGGGAGGAACTCCACTTGCACAGAGTTTTTTAGAAGGTGTATGAGGGTAGTAAAGTTCATTCATCAAGGATCTGTGATTTTGAGCTGTCTCTAAACTAAAGTATTGCGTGTTGTCTAATATCCAGAAAGATTAAATGACTTCCCCAGATCACATAGCTAACCAGTGTTGGAGGTGAGATTAGAATCCAGGTCTTCCTAATTTCAAGGCACTCTATCCACTATATCATTCTCACTCATTATAAAATATGATAGCATAACAAAAGGATATAAAATCAATTTGAAAAGCAGGTATATATGAATCATAAAGTTTCATGAAGGTTCTCCTTGTTAAGAGGCAGTGTAACATAATGGATGGAGCAATGGACCTGCAGTTAGTCAGCACACATTTCTTATAGTACCTACTATGTTCCAGAAACTGTGCTAAGCTCCAAGGATACAAAGCCAAAAACAATCCCTGTCCTCTAGGAGCTCACAGTCTAATGGAAGAGGCAATATACAAACAAGTATGTACAATCCAGATGTAGACAGAATAAAGTGAATATGATCAACAGAAGGAAGGAATTAGCTTTAAGTGAGATTGTGAAAAACTTCTTATAGAAGGCAGAATTTAGTGGAGATATGAAGGAAACCAGGGAAGCTAGGAGACAGAGATTAGGAGGGATGAACTGAGTTCAAATCCCACCTCAGATTCTTACTAGATAGATTCAGTCATTTTTTAGTCATGTCCAACTCTTACCCCATTGGGGATTTTCTTGACAAAGGTACTGGAGTGGTTTGCCATTTCCCTCTCCAGCTCATGTTACAGATTGAAGCAAGCAGGATTCCCAGGGTCACACAACTAGTAAATTTCTGAGGCCAGATTTGAACTCAGGAGGAGCAGTCTTCATGACTCTAGGCCCAGCACTATATCCACTGCATCACCTAGCTACTCTGTGAGCTAGATGAACCTAGGCAAGTCACTGGACCTCTATGTGCTTCCTTTGTAAAATGAGAAAGTAGTATATGATTGCTTATAAGGTCTCTCCTAGCTCTAAATCTATGATAATAGCAAGACACAAATTATCTGCTCTGTGGCTGAGGCTGTTTTTAAAAATCTCAACCACGTGGAGAATCCCATTCAGACTTATCCATTCAGAAATTTCTGCTGGGCTAATTTCCCATGGATGTTATCAACTGAACTCCACCGAGTGTTTAGATATCCATTCCCTTCTCTGATTCAGTGAAGGAAGGTTTCTCACTTGGAGCAAAATTGTTTGTCTGCCCACAGAGCAGAGGTAGAGACTCTGTCAACAACGGTACTCATTGCAAACAGCAACCCCAAAAGACGGCCTACCCCTGGATATTCCATGTAGAAAGGACCATATGTCACATCACAATTGTTCTAGCCACACTTATGCAAATGAGTAAAGCTTTCATTAATTACTCCCCTCTTGAATTCAGAGAATAGACAGCATGTTACTGACAGACTGAGCTTAACCAGCTGTAGTGCATGGGTGACTTCACCGTTCCCCCCATCCCCACCCAAGGTAATAATTCTTTTGTTTAAGCAATCCTGGGTGAGGCTTGCTTTTTTAAAGTAGGGCAATTGCTCAAGCAACAATGTTTCCAACAAGTAATACATTCATTCTGAAGTTTCTGCTGGGCTGATTTTCCATGATTTCCTCAACAACAGCAGTGAGTGCTTAAATATCTTCTCTTCTCACAACTGCCAGGCTAGAAGAAATGAAGTCATCAGCATTTTACCTCCTGACACTTAAGCTATCATGTAATTGCTTTGATATTCACTATAATTATTTTACAGGATTTAATTTCATAAAAGATTTGCATTGTTGCTGTTTTCTGGAATAATTATCATTTCAATCTTCTTTAAGAGACTTTTCTCTTCCATTTCTGTCAGTTGGTAAAACATAAAACAGATTATTGTTCAAAAACAAACGTCACTTATGGTCTTCTCCTCCCCAGAAAAACTTTATTTCTTTTGAAATAACAGATCTCAGCTGTAGAGTTAAGGATACAAATGAGGAAGAAAAACACTACTTTGCATAAAATAATCACTTTGAAGACTCAAAGTAAATTTGTTATCTGGAGGGAAAAAAAAAAAAAAACCTTGCCTGAGAGGCAGGAGACCTGGATCCTTATTCCAGCTCTTTCACCATCTGCTCTGTGATTTTGGTTGGCCCAATCAACTTCATTAGGCATCAGTTTTCTCATCTATGAAATGAGGGGGTTGAAGAAGAACATCTCAAAGGTCTCTTCCAGATCTAACACTCTATGAATTTAAATGTTAATAGATGTTAACTTGTTGGTGCCCATGGCATCCATATGAGGGAGTCCTATAAAATCTAAATATCTCGTCTTTCTCACATGGAGAAACTGAACCAAAGAATGTTGAAATGGGTCTTCTATCAAATGAGAGGCTGGACTAGGTATCGTACCTCCTATCTCTAAGTCTGTGTTGCTATGATACCCTGTGATAGAGTGAAATGGTGAGCCCACAACAGAGTTGAGATTGGGCATCCTGTCTTAACACAATACCATGGTTTTTAACAACTACAAAGATAAACATGAAAAAGCTTACCTAATGTATTTTTAATTGGTAAGCCATTCTAATGGTTAGTAATCCCAAGACCTGACTTCTTCCCTACCTTTCCTACCCAAGGTACCAGAAATAAACCTGAGCTCAAACTCTGGGACAAGGAAAGGCAAGGGAACAAGAATATTCCTATATATATTCTTTTACTCTCCCAACCTGTTATAAAAAATGAGACTCTTTTCGATCAACCATCATTAGAGATAGCCCATTAGACACCTGGCATATGTTCAAGTGGTTAATTAGTGTGCCTTGTAATCCCTTTTCAGCCACTGAGTTTTGAAAGCAAGAAAAGCTACACTTTGAAAGTAGAGGGAGCCAATCCCCACCTGGAAGTTCGCTTTCTGAACCTAGGCCCTTTCCAAGACACGACCACAGTTCACATCAGCGTGGAGGATGTAGATGAGCCCCCTGTTTTTGATCCTGGCTTTTATTTTGTGGAGGTGCCTGAAGATGTGGAGATTGGAACCACCATACAGATCATTTCTGCCAAGGACCCAGACGTGACCAACAACTCAATCAGGTTTTTCCGCAGATTTCATCCTCTTCCCATATCCTGGAATCTGCCCCTTTCTTGTATGTACTGAGCATAAACACTTCTTCCCACCTCTGCCCTTTCCCTCCTTACTCCTTCTCCATTTCCTTCACTCCTTGAATATGCCCCTTTTTCTCATTTCTTCTGTTTAAAATCATATGACTCTATATCATCTTGGAAACACATGTAAACCATACCCATTGTCAATAAACAATTCAAGTATGCAGCTATAATCCAGACAGGGCAGGGCACATTTCCACTTGGGCTTCACTCTAATAAATCTATGGGCATTTGGGAAGTTCAGCCTTCTTACCAAGATACTCCTTTCAAGAGGCAGTACAGGCATGAAGGATGCAAAAGAACACAGGAGTTTAAGGTAGAAGAAAAAAGTGGGTTTGAACCCTACCTAGTTTATGAGCTGCATGGTTCTGAGCTTTACTATTATTGTTTTACCATTTATTGTTTTGTTGCTGTTGTTGTTCAGTTGTGTCCCACCATTCATGACCCCATTTGGGGTTTTCTTGGCAGAGATAAATAGAATGGTTTGTCATTTCCTATTCCATCTCATTTTACAGATGAGGAAACTGAAGTAAACACGGTTAAGTGACTTGCCCAGGGTCACACAGCTAGCATCTGAGGCCAGATTTGAATTCACAAAGATGAGTCTTCCTGACTTCAAACCTAGCATTCTATCCATTGTGCCACTTAGATGCCCTTATTTATTGTTTTACTATATTGCATTTACTATCATTGTTTTACTATTCTTGGCCTTAGTTTATTCATCTGTGAGATGAATATCTTGAACTTCCTCAGAGAGTTGTTTTGAGTACCAGCTAGGTGATGCTGGGGATAGAGCACAGGTTCTGGAGTCAGGAAGACCCAAATTCATATCCGATCTCAAACATTTACAAGCTGTGTGACCCTGGGTACCTTACTTAAACCTCTATGTGCTTCAGTTTCCTTAACTGAAAAATAGGGATAATAATAGGGTCTAACTTCCAGAGTTGTTATGAGGATCAAATGAGATATTTGTAAAGCACTTTGTAAACCTTAAAACAAGATATAAATGCTAGATATTGTTACTATTAAATGGGATAATGTAGTAATAATAATAGTTGTATAGAACTTCAAAATTTACCAAAGCTGCTTTATTTCAAATACATGTAAAGCACTTTATAAACCTACCTGGGCAATCTTTTTTTTTTTCCCACTCAACCTGTGTTTTCGTTGGTGTAGGGAACTCCAAGTTAGGACATTCCCTCTACCAATGCAGTTCTGCGTGTTCTCTGCCAGTTATAGTATTAGAGAGTTGCCTGGGGATTGAGAAGGTTTCACGTCAGACCTGGAACAAAACTCCAAACAGCTGATGAGCAGTATGACACATAGACTTTCCAAAGGCAATTGCCAAGGGCTTAACACAAAAGACCAGTATTTTGAGGATGTTTGAAGCCATCTGTCATGTTAATTGTTGAAGCCCACAATACGGGAAAATGAATTTGGGGCATTAGTGCAGTTAATTCATTTTAAACATCCTCTGATCTGTCAAATTCTCTGTCGGTTACCAGGATGCTTTCCCCACCTGGCATCAGTTTTCATCTAAATGAAAATGTTGGTTATCAATGTTGAGCAGGGTAGGCTCTCACTAGGGAATGATTGAATTTGAGTTGAAAACCTGCCTCTTTGTGAACACTGCTGTCCCCTTTATACCATTTGCAGCTCATTACTCACCTCCTCACAGAAGCCATGAGTCTCAATCAAGACACCCCCATTCTGAGTATGAGTTCTCTCAGTTGTTATACCAATTTCAGCAGACATCCTTCTCTTTCCAGAAAGTTCATACTCAGTCCTCAGTTTTGTATAACCATTGCTTTTTCAACTTCTAGAAAACAACTAACCTTTAATTAGTGGCAGTATTCTAGCTATATGCTATCCTTATGCCTTCTAACTAAAATGGGAAATTTGAAGGAGAGAGAAAAAATTCCACTGTCATCACCATCATCACCAAAACAGAGACAATTATAATCAAATAAAAATACAAATAATTCCCGTGTCAACATTGGACGATAATAAATGTATCCCAATGAATCAATTAGATGATACCAGAATAACTTTTTAGAAGAGATCTTATAGACTATTCTTTTATTTTTTTTTTTAAAAAGGGTCCTATTTCAATTCTGAAAGATTCCCTTGGAAAATGGAAACTAGGCCAGGTGTGGGAATACATGTATGTAATCTCAGCTACTGGGTAGGCTGAGGCTGGCAGATCACTTGCGCTCCAGAGTCCTGGGCTATGCTGCTGGAGTGTTCATACTCAGTTCAGCATCAAGATGGTGAACCTTCTGGGAGGGAGGGGTCAACAGATTGCCTAAGAATCAGTGAACTGGCACAGATTGGAAACATAGCGCTTCAATGTTCCCATGTTGATCTGTGGTAGGATCAACTGTGAGTAATCCCTGTGCTTCCAGCCTGAAAGAGTTAGGGAAACAACATGGGCATCACAAGATGCTCATAGTCTCACCCTCTGCCTTTGGACTCTCCCACCGTCAAATTGGAAAAATAGTTCATGATATGATAATGTAATGAGCACAAGTAAGACAAACAGCTCTTAATAAAGTACTGCTCTCAGTGAAAAGGTTCTCCTACTAATCAAGGTTCTTAATCTTTTGTGTGTGTGTGTGTGTGTGTGTGTGTGTGTGTGTGTGTGTGTGTGTGTGTCATGGACAGCTTTAGAAGTCTGCCAAAGTCTATTCTAAGACCCCTTTCAGAATAATGTTTTAAAATAATTAAAGAAAATGCCAAGTTTCAGTTAGAGGTTAGTGAAAATAAATAAATGTGCAATATGTAATATGTAAATATGTAATAAAATAAAAATGTAAATTTTTCCCATTCAAGTTCATAGACCCTGGGAAATCTGTCCACGGATTGCTTGATTAAGAACGCCTATAGGGGCAGCTAGGTGGCGCAGTGGACAGAGCACTGACCCTGGAGTCAGGAGGACCTGAGTTCAAATCAGACACTTGACGTATACTAGCTGTGTGACCCTGGACAAGTCACTTAACTCCATTGCCTAGCAAAAACAAACAAACAAACAAAAAAAGAATGCCTATACACTAATCGAAAGATCATATTAAGTTCTAAATAGTATTGGTCCCTAGTACCTGGCCAGGGTGTTATGGGAATGAGGGATGATTTTTAGATACTTTGCACAAAATTGTTCCTATTAGCAAACTGTGGCTGGAAGAAAGGGGAAGGATTCCTTAGTGATGTCAAGATCTCAGAAATTGTTCTCTGGAGAGGAATATAGCCCTCCATAGCCACAATCAGCAGAAACAAGTGAGTTCCTGAAGACATCAAATGAGTAGTTGCAACCAAACCTGATTCAGTGTAATGCAGCAGAGAGGGAAGAGCCCCCTGAAGCAGATGACCTGTATCCAGCACTAGCTTCCACTGCCTCCCAGTGGCCCTAACCAGAATAGAAGTCACAGAAGTGAAGGATAACCTCCAGGACAATCAGGACTTAGCCAGAATTTATTTTAGCTATAATTGATGTTTAGAGGGAGTATAATTTTCCTCTTGTACCTTTCCTATGTTATTCCTTCCTTTTTGTTGCAAGTATTATTTTCTTCTAAAACATTTTTCATTTTTTGCATACTTAGTCATCTCATTTTTTATTCTATATGTACTTTGCATAGAAGACACATTTTGTAATCTCATACCAAAAATGCATCTCAAATCATGCAGCATCAACATCTCACCAGCATTTAAAATGTTGAGAGTAAAAGGGCCAGTCATTTTTTTAAATGCATGGAACTTTCAAAGTAGCTTTCTTGGAGAATTTTTGTAGTAAAATAAAGTACTGTATGTTTAGTGTTAAGCAGCCTCATCAAGATACAAACCAAATAAGGGTTTGGTTTCTTCTGAATTTTTGGTTAATGCCTGAAGGATTTCCAACAAGCACAAACTGTTTGTTCGCTGGTAAATGAGCCTATTTTGGTTGCCAAGGAGCCGGGTCTGCCTTTTGAATCCCACACTTGTTCTACACATGAACTCCAAGTACTCATGCATAACGTATCAATACTTCCCTCAGTAACATCCACCACTAAGTGAATGAAAATGATACAAAGTAAACATGATGGGTATTCTATTCATACAATTTGGCATCCAAATATCATGCCTACTTTACCGTTTTAGGGGTACATGGGATGGGGAGAGGTGGTCTGGACCTGTGATTTCATCAGTGTAGGGAACTCCCAGTGTATGAACCCCTTCTATTAATGCAGACCTGCAACTTTTCTTTAACTTACAGTTTAACTTACAGTTCCCAGGGGCACAAAGTAGTTTAGTGATTTACTCATGGTCATGTCAGAGATGGAACTAAGCCTTCTTGACTCAAAGGCCAGCCCTTCTATCCACTATACTAGTGGTTCTCAAGTTTTTCGGTCTCAGAATCCCTTCACACTCTCAAAAAGTAGTGAAGACCCCTCCTTCAAAGAGCTTTGGTTTGTGTGTGTTATATCTATTGATATTTATCATATTGTATGTTAAAATGTCTTAGTATTTTTATGAAAATAATTTTTACTTTGCAGACTGTTTTAAAGTGTCTCAGGAACTCTGAGAGGTTCCTGGACCACCCTTTGAGAGCTACTTAACTATGCCATGCTGCCTCTCTAGTACAAATGAAAAATCCTAACAGAGAACAGCTAGACACCCACATAAGTCACGCCAGGATGTCCCATTTAGTTCATTTCCTATTGTATTGAAACATTCTTCTCCTTCTGCCCTACTAATGCTTGTTCATTTGCTCATTCTTTTGCTTCTTGAAAATTAGTTCTGAAAAACTGTTCTGCCTGCAAACACTCACTCCATCAATCTATTTAGGAACTAGGAGAGGGATTCTAATTATGAATGATGGGACTCCTATCAGTGACACTTGGTCAAATTATTCATTCTAATCAGATTTTAACATTTAGTCATTTTCTATTAGAGGTATATCCCACATGAAGTTGCCTCATACATATATCTTTTAGCAATAACATCATTATTACTTGATTACCAATCCCTAGTGAAAAGTCACAAAATCTTGTTGAGTCATCATTCAGCCAAAGACCTATTTGTAGCATTGTTCCTCTGGAATGAATTGTATCCTATTTCATTTCAACTAATGTTAGCTTTCAGAGAACAAATTAAGAATGTTAGGAAGAGCAAGCCTGAGGGCTCTTTGTTTTATTTTGTTATAGAAAAATGCTATCTGAAATGTCTGTCACCAGTTTGAACACCTCAGTTTTCAGGGCTAGAACTTCAGAGACCATTGCTTTTCCCATAGACATTATGCCTACAATTTTGACAGCTTCCTGAAATCCATAGTCATGAGTCTATAGACTAATTGGTTGAAATGTTCCTACATATCAGTAACTCAAAGCATTGATTAGCATATAATCCTGTCCTATATGGTCTTGTCTGCAAAAGATAGACAAGCAAAAAAAATATTATTTTTTTAAATTAACCAGCATTATTAAATGTGATATGCAATGTATGCTAACTACACACTTGTTGGTGCTGCCAAAGCCATACCCATTCACACATGGCTTTTTCCTCTGTTTTCTACAACTTACAGAGAAATAGGTTGTTGTATAATTAATTAATTAACTAGCTAGGAAGTATGGTATACTTTGGTCACTAGTAAATGACCTCAAACCCCTATCCCAATGGTTATATCAGAGGGTATTCAGTGTCCATGGGTGAACTTTCCCAACAGATGCAGTATTCCCCTACTATTCACCAGAGGGTGTTTAGACTACATACAAGTTGATGACTCTTTCCTCCCCCACCCCAAGTTCTCTTCAATTCTATATTGATCTATCTAGAGGAATGAAGGTGTAATATGGCAGCAAAATATTAAAATTAGAGAAATATCCATTTGGTTCCCTTCAATCTAATTCACTCCATCTTTTATGTCATTTCACAGGCCATTCATATTCAAACCACATACATTTTATTATACAAAGAAGATGAATAATAGGATTGTTAAGAGCTGATCCTCCAAATTTTTTTTCCCAAAGCAGAATGATACTTCTATTTTTCTTAGGTAGTAAAAAGATTATGGGCAGGAGTTATAAGTCTAGGGCCAGTTTTCTAGAACCAGGGACATCAGTCGACTAGAGCATGGTAATATTGTGGTAGGAGCAGGTTTGTCTTCCTCCCATTTACCAAGATATGGTCTCCAGAAACTTATGGTCCAAGCACCCTAGAAACTGCAATTCCTAACTCCCCATAGTTCCAGTAGCAACTTGCATCCCTGCCTCTGGGTCTCAGCTGTGATACTATCCCAGTCATAGCAGGTAGAGGTTCAGGCCACTGCTATAATAGTGACTGTACCAGAATATGTCAGTCTGAGTTGAGGGGCCATTGGCTGTCTACGCATGGTGGACAGGGTATTTGGCTCTGCCTCTGTCCTCTTTCTGCACCTTGAAACTCTAGGCAGAAAGTTTTTTCAAAGACAAAGGGGCTTCTCTGTCCATACATGGCTTACTTCAACACTTCCATAAGGGCATTAGAAACATTTTATATAAATAGTTTTTAACAATTAAAATGTGATTAAATAGCAAGTCTTCAGAGACTGAGAAAAGGGGTTAATTGAAGTGAATACAATAGTTGCCAAGGAGACTCACTCCTCATTGGAAAGAGATCATCATGGAGTTTCACACAGACAGAGAGAGGAGTCCTGTATGTATGCAGCAGAAAACCTTTTGACTGAATAATCAATAACATGAAATTCTATGCATAAGAAAGTGATATGCCATTGAGAGCAAGATTTAGTGAAATATAAATACCCTACATACAAATCAAGTACCTCTCACATTAAACTTCAACTTTTCTATCAGTGGTTTATTTAACTGTTTTTCTTTATTATATTTTAAGGAGAAATCTTTATTTTCTCCTTGTTTTTAGATTCCACATGTCAAATAACTTGTAACTCCCTTAAAGCTCCCTATAATCACTTCAATGCTTCCAACTTAGAAAGAAAAGCCCTAAACAGCGACTTATCAGAGAGAAGGTATTAATTTTCATCCTTGCTTTCCTAACTCTGAGACCCTTCTTTCTATCTATCTAGTTCCTCTCTGTCCCTGGACTTTGCTTCCTTGGAATTTCTCTGTTTACAAATAGCTTAGTTTTCAGGCCAAAGAATAAGATTGCTATTACCTGAAATGAATAGACAGAAAGCTGCACAACTTCCTAAAGCGTATAAATCCCAGGGGCTCTCCTATTCACTTCAGTAATGATAACAGCTTATTTGTATGCTTCTTCAAGGTTTCAAAAATGTTTCCTTCACAATAACTCTGTGGAAGTATAAGTATTAGTGTCAACATTTTACAAATGAGGAAACTGAGGCAATGAGAGGCTAAGTGAATTTCTAGTAGTTACACAATCAATAAGCATCTAAAGCAGAATTCAAACCCAGGTAGGTTTGAATTATAGCTACCATACTATGCTGCCTTTCAAAAATAAATGCATTCTCTTTCCTATCCTTGGAAATTCTTCTAGATTAAAGCTTTTTCAGCAAGAGACACTCTAAGGGGGCTATATATGTTATTCCTTTTACACTTTTAAACACATTTGGACAAAATAGTTTTAAAACAGCCTTATAGTGACATCTTCAAACCATCCTTAAGATATAGGCTAGTACTATTGTTATATTTTTCTCATCTTATAGATGAGGAAATTTAAGTATGATGATCTGACTGATCTGCACGTGATCAGGCAACCAATTTTCAATCAGTATTGGTAGGGATAGCCTTTTGAGTTAAGTTCTGTTACAGAATCCATTGAATCATGTCTTCATATACTGCATGGTCCATTGCATGATGGTTTACTTGCACTATTTTCTTCCAGAGGCAAACATAATGTTTCTAATACATATTTTACAGATATTCAATTGACAGGAGCAGTGACCCTGGGAGATTCTTTTATGTTGACATCACAACAGGGGCTCTCATGACTGCAAGACCCCTTGACCGAGAGGAACTTTCATGGCATAATATCACCGTCCTGGCTATGGAAATGAGTAAGTAGAATAGCTAGGTCTCTTAGTGAATAAATATAGGTATTCTAGAATGTGAAAATTTCAAGAACTTGGGTTGAATATATATTTTTGTCATTCTTAGGAATCAGGAGAAAATGGGAATCATAGCTCTGCCAAAGACTTATATGACTAAGGCAAGCCACTTAATCTGTCTAACCTTCAGTTTCCTCATAGATAAAATGAAGAGGTTGAATTAGGTGACTTCCAAGGTCCTTTCTAGTGCTAACATTCTAAGATTCTAGGATTTGTCTTAAAACTAAGAGAAGGCCTAGTGGAATGCCACTGGGCTCTGTCCATGGTCCTGGTCTGCTCAATAGTTTTGTCATTCACTTGGATAAAAATATAAAAGACATGCTATCAAATTTATAAGATACCATGAAGCTGAGAGGGATACCTAATGGCTAACACTCTGCATGACCAACCAGTACACACATAAAAAAGATCTCAATAGGCTGGAATAATAGGATAAAGCTAAGATGAAATTGAATTTTTAGAAATATAGTCCTGTGCTTAAATTTGCAAAAGAGTTGTCTATATAAATATAGACATAAGGAAAGATGAATAGACAACTACACACACACACACACACACACACATTTTAAATGGCAGTTTTGTAGACTTAAAGGTTCATATGAGTCAGCAGTAGCAGCTAAGAAAGCTATTCCATCTTAGGCTACACTGATAGATGTATAATGTTCAGAGTGAGGCAGGTAAAAATCCTGCTTCCTCTACCCTAGTTAGAGCATATCTGGATGCTTATATTCATTTTGGGAGAAGGACATTCTTTAGGAAGGACATAAACAAACTAGAGGAGATCTAAAGGAGGGCAACCAGGATGTTGATGGAACTCAAAACAAAGATCATTTGACCAATCTGACAAGAAGAGAAGTCTTAATGGGAATGTGACGCCTTTATTCAAGTATATAAGGGAATGTCACGTGGAATAGAAATTAAGATTTGTTCTGCTTGGCTCCAGAGCACATAACTAGGAGAGATACATAGAAACTGCAGCATGGCATATTTCAGCTCAAAGTGAGGAAAAATTTGCCAATAATTAAAACTACCTCTAAATGGAATAGGGCACAGGAAAGGTAGTTACTTCTCCAAAGCTTCATTCCTCAGTGAGGCCTGAATGGCACTTGTCATGAAAATGTAATGAAATGGTTTTCTCATCCCACTTTGTATCTGCTGCTCCATCTGGTTTCAGCTTCATGGAACAAGAAGTCCCCATGCAGAGTACCTTCTGGTGTCCCCCACCTTCCTGCCTTCTTTTGTGTGTTGTCTCCCCATATAGATTGTAAGCTCCTTGAGAGCAGGGATTGTCTTTATTTTCATTAATTGTCTCCCCAGTGCTTAGCACAGTGCCTGGTACATAGTAGGTGCTAAATATATGTTTATTGATTGGATTTCATTAGATAGATTGGTCAGGTATAAGTTGAACTAGATGAACTCCAATAGGTCTCTCATTATGATAGAAAATTACTGTGTTCAAGCTAATTTAATGCACTGACTCAAGTCAGAAGAAATAGGTTTAAATCCTACCTCTAATACTTTCCACCTTTGTAACTTTAGGCAAGTCACTTAACATACCTAGGCCTCATATTCCTCATCTGTAAAATGAGAAGTAGGATGAGATAGTCTCTGGGAACCTTTCAAGCTCTCGAGCTATGATTCTATAATCTTATGGTAATTGAGTTTTCACTATGCATGCAGGGAGATGTTTCTCATCCTTCCATCAACTCTCCACTGAAATCCATTCTCAGGATTTCACCATGTTTATTCTCTTCCATTCTGCTCTAAATGGAGTGGGAGGCCAAGGCACAAAAGGGACAAGGGTGAGGCAATGTGAAAGCTACTGGATTTCAAATATAAGTTCTACCAAAGATGCATGTACCCAGTTGGGCCCTAAGCTGTACCCAACTCATATACTGTAACATATATTTGGTTTCTCAAATTCTCTGACAGACCCTCTGTGTAACCCCTAAATGTTGAGTTATTTACATTTTAATGACATATAATTCAAAGCAAAACTCCTTGGTACAGAAATAAAGCTACCCAGGGTTTGAATGTATATCAAATTAGACACACACCATCTTAAATAAACTCCAGAGTACAAGTTGGCTTTTTTGATACATTTACAATCTTAAGTCAAAGCTAAGCCAAGAATTCAGAGATTTTTCTTAGATAAACTTGGTACCTCCTGCTCCTCATGTCTGCTCCCTCTACCTAGTAATCTGTTCCTTCTTCCCTCTAACACCCCTGGTTCTTGCTCAGTCTTTCATTGTCTGTTTACTGGACACTAGCTCAGCTTTATGTTAGGTATGTATCATGACCTTTGTTTACATTATAATATTTGTATGTAATTGATCCATTCATTTAGGAGCAGTTAGTATGACCAAGTAAACATATTGCTTCCCTCAATTAGTTACTTTTCCTGGGTCCCTGAATAACTTATTCTTTCTATATTCTATTTTATTTTTTCTTCAGACAACCCCACACAAATTGGAAGTGTTTCTGTCACAGTAAAGGTCTTGGATGTGAATGACAATGCTCCTGAGTTCCCCAGATTCTATGAAGCTTTTGTTTGTGAAAATGCCAAAGCTGGGCAGGTAAGTAGGCCCACGTGATTGAGGTCTTTGAATGAATGAATGAGTGAATGAATGAAAAACACTCAAATGCTTGCTATGTGCCAAGCACTATGAATTGTCTTTTGCACTGATGATTAGTCCCCAACATAGAAAATGGGTGTGTAGCCCAGAGGAACACCTGTTACATATTTCTTATTACAATAAACTAGTCATACCTTAAGTTTCAACATTTCCCGACAGGTATTGTCCTAAAATGTGCATGGAGATCAGTCTTTCAGAGTTATGAATGTATTCTCCCACGGGAACAACATTATAAATGGTGGTTAGGTTCTTGGGCTAGCACACAAAAGACCATTTAACCACAGTGTTGTTGAGCTAATAGCATTGGCTTAAGTTCTTGTTCCTGGGAAATAGAGGATGTAGGAAATATGTGGTGCAAGAGACGGGAGGCAGAAGAAAGTAGTTTCCTCTTCTTTTCTTCAAAGTATTGTTTGCAAAATATTAAAATAAGTGGTTTTTCTCGTACCCTTTCCCCTTAATTTTTGCTCCCCCTTCACTTCCCAGTGGTGCTTTCAACAGGATTTTCTTTGGGTACTCAATCCTCTCAAGCTAACTAAAACCTGCAGCGTGGCACTTTTTCTACCCTATACTTACTAAGTGCTACATGCCCCCAAATTACTCCCTCCTATTCCCCCCCCCAAAAAAACCTGATATCCTCTCAAAGTAGATCTCAAGCTAAGTGTTGGAAGAACAGTACTGTTAAACTACTCCCTATTGAGAGATGAAGGAAGAAAGGAAATAAGCATTTATTAAGCACCTACTATGTACCAGGAACTGTGCTTAGCACTTTACTAATATTATCTCATTTGATTCTCACAACAACCCTGGGAGACAGGTGTTATTATTATCCTAATTTTATGGTTGAGGAAACTGAAGTTGAGTGGTTTACTGTTTGTTATACACCTAGTAAGTATCTGAGGCAGGATTTAAACTCAGGTCTTCCTGACTCCAAGCCTAATGCTCTATTCACTATGCTGCCTAGCACCTCAAATGACACATCCCTCAGGAAGTTCCCCAGAGACAGTTGCTTTTTTCAACTTTAGAGGCAATCCAGTCCAATCTGTCCCTGAAGATGAATCCCTTTTAGAACATCCGTAAGAGGTCACCCTGCATTTGAAGATATATAGTGAAGGAGGGAGGTTCTTAATTTTTTTGTGTCATGAACCCCTTTGGCAGACTGGTAAAAGCCATTGATTGCGTAAAATAAAATACACAGGCTCACCAAGGAAATAAGTTCTGTTGAAGGAAAGATGTAATGTTTTATCCCCGTACAAGTTCACAGACCTGCTTGTAATATATCCTCAGACCCCTTTAGGGTCCATGGACCTCAGGTTAAGAACCTCTGCTCTACAAACAATCTATTCCATTGTGGACAGCTCATATTGGTTTGAAGTTTACCCTTATATAAAATCTAAACCTGTCTCTCTTCAAGTTTCAATCATTATTCCTAGTTTTTTTTTCCTTCTGAGGCCCAGTAGAAGAATCCCTCTTCCATTTGAAAACCCTTCAAAGATTTGAAGATATCTAGTATTTCATCCTTTAAGCTAAGCATCAAGTCATATTGGATAAAATGGGGGGTGGGACACGGCAACAGTCTCAATGATGACAAGCCTATTCTGCTTGGAAATCTGATCCCAAGGTTAATACACCCAAACTATTCCTGCTTTTCACAACTTCTTCCCATACTCTACATCTGAACCAATAGATTCTCTCAAAGCTCTTCATTTCTTCAAAATGGTTCCCATGGCTGCTGTAGTGTGGTCTCTAGCTAGGTGGCATAGAAGAATGAAATGGATTAGAAAGGAAAGGAAAGGAAGAGAATAGAAAGGAATGGAATGGAATAGAATAGATTGGGATTGGAAGGAATAGGGTGGGATGGGATTGAACAGGAATAGCTGCCTGTCATTTGTATGTCTGGGTCATTTGTAAGTTGTAAATTATCTGTTTTCCTTACCTGGAAGTTAAGGAAAACTTATTTACCTGTACTATTCATTCTTGAATAGGAGCTGTTATTGTCTTTAGCTTTCCCTAGTGCTCTCTACTCTGATGTGCATTTCCTCCTCTTCCTCCTCCTCCTCCTCCTCCTCCCAGCACCACTGTATCATATCTGCATAATCAAGGCTTTAAAGAGTATCTTTGTGAATTCACTAGGCAATGACCACACACTTCTCTGTTCTGCCTGTATAGATAAGATAAAATGACTTTTCTCTAAGGGGAAAAAAAAAAGCTTTATATGTTTCATCCATCTTTATTATCGTTACCTCACCAACTTGTTCAATTTGATAGTTTGTAATACACTGAAAAATAATTTAGAAAAGTCTAGGGACAATTCTAATCCCTTTCCTGTGAATTGTTAACCTTACCATTTGCTTGAATTGTTGAAGTTCCACTCACAAAAAACCCAGAATTTGAGAGTTGGAAGGGACTTCAGTGATTATTGTCGAACCCCAATAAATCACAGTCTATTCTAAGAAAGAGACAAATGAAATTAGGGTGTGTATGTCCATGGTTTAATTTCTCTCAAGTTGGCTTGACATGAACTGCATGGGAGTACAGTCCAAAACTGGGCACCCCCTAAGGGGGCCAGTTCAGAACTGACTTGATTAGGGATTTGAGAGTACAAGGTTATATGCCCTTCAAAGAATAGGTGTTCCTAAGGGGTGCCAATCAACCCTGATTAGTCAACACACTGGGAGGTGGGCTATATTAAAATGAGGTCTTGAATATGTGACTTAGGTCACTTAATCTTGGTCAACAGGAGTTGATATCACCTGTCATCTGGACAAAGGAAATACCACCCCCAGTCTTGGGTTATTTAGGCAGAAGAATCTGTCTCCACCCAAACCTGAGCAGATTAAATCAATTCAGGCCTGGATGAGAGTTTGACTGGAATAAATTTATTATCAGTAATGTCCTTGTGAAGAATTTTGAGAAGGGGGGTTAACTGGGGGGGATGCTCTGAGAATCATTTTTCACATCATATAATCCATTTGTTGTTCATTTGTTTCAGTTATGTCCAACTTTTCACAACCCTATTTGGGGTTTTCTTGGTAAAGATCCTGGAATGATTTACCATTTCCTTCTCCAGCACATATTACAGATGAGGAAACTAAGGCAAACAGGGTGAAGTGACTTGCCCAGGATTACACAGCTAGCAAGAATCTGAGGCCAGATTTGAACTCAGAAAGATGAATGTTCCTGATTCCAGGCCTGGCACTCTATCCCCTGTACCATCTAGCTGCCCCATTTAATCCAACCAATGTTCAAAAAAATAAAAATAATTCAACTAGAAACATAGAAGAGACTGAGAAAGAAAAGGGGCTAGGTGGTGCAGAGGATAGAGTGTTGGACTTGGAAGCAGTAAGACCTGAGTCTGAATCTTGGGGGGCACTTAATACTGTGTGACCTGAAGCCAGGCAGTTTCCTTGTCTGTGATATGAGGCTAATAAAACCCTTTTATCTCAGGGTTGTTGTAAGGATCAAATGTGATAATTTATGTAGAGCACTTTGAAAACTTTAAAACTCCATATAATTGTTGGCTCTTACTTTTAAGAGAATATTAAGAAGTTTTATCATTTTTAGAAGAAAAATAAAATATGCTCTGCTTTTCACAAAATCACAAATTTTCAGATTTGGAGGGAATCTAAGCAGCTATCTAGTCAAACTAATACCCACAAAGAATTCCTACTACCACACACTTGACAACTGGTCCGCCAACCTTCACTTAAGGACTTCCATTAAGCCCGAACATCTTCCCAAGGCAGCCCATTCCACATTCAGACTTCTGTAATTGCTGGAGAGGTTTTCCTGACATTGAGCCTAAATATGACTCTTTACAACTTCTGTATTTCTTAGAGAACTTTAAGGGGGAAAAAAAGATGTTTTCTGACAGGTTAACAGACTTTAGCTATTGTTCTTGTTAAATGGAATCACCCAAGCAAATCCACCTTTCTGCAGTCTTATTTGAAACGTGCTGCAATGGGCTCACCTTTAAGCACAACCTGCTACCAGTGACATGGAATCACAGGACTGAGAGCGTGAACATCCAGAACATCATCCGGAACATCTGGAACATCTCGTGAAGCTCACTACCTCCATCTGGGAGCCTCTTCTCTTACCCCCACATGCATTCTTTTCTCTCCTACCTGGCTATTGAAAATTGGATACTTTGAATTAGGCTCCAGGACTTATGGTTGCTTTGCTTTTTTGTTTGTTTGTTTGTTTTGTAAGTCACCCTCTATAGATGCAGTTAAATTTATCAAAAGTTGAATTTCCTTGTGTTGCAGTGACCATAGCAGGCCATCTGCTTTGCCTCTAAGAAAGTGTGAGTATGCTTTTTTCCCAGTAAGTGACCTTGAAGAGGGCACAGAGATGAATCATGCAGGATACTTTTGAATGACTGAAACTTGCATATCATACCCCAAGTAAGACTTGATGAAAGGATCTGTCATTGCCTAGGACAATGGCTAGAGGGTATTCCTAACCTAGATCCAGGCATGCAGATTTGCCCTTTCATTTTTAAAACACCGCAACCTCACAACTCTGCCCTAAAAAGACTATGTGTCATGTTGGACAGTCTGAAATGGCTTTTCCTGATAAATGTGCAGAACTGCAGATCCATTTCTTTGTAAGCACACATCAAATAATGCCATGTCTCACAGTCCTTGGCACATGGTAGGTGCTTAACAAATGCTTGTTTGTTGATTCATTGATCTCCCCCTTATTTAACTGCTTGGTTAGACTTAACAGGGGACTAGACTGATGATATCTTTGCTATTTGGAACTTCCAGGTAAGGAAAATAGGTAAGCATCTTCTCTGCAGCATATGGTCTTAGAGACTGAAAAGTACACTGAAAAGTTAAGGGACTTGCCCAGGGTCACACAGTCAACATGTCAGAGGAGGCTGAATCCAGGTGTTCCTGATCCCTAAGCTTAGCTCTCTATCTACTGCATCATGCTGCTTCTCATCTTAACAAACACTATAAAAATAGCTAGCAATGTACTTGGGAAGAGGAAAAAAGGCTTCTCCGGAGTAAAATGTAATAGAGAAAAGAGGGAAGAGTCAGTAGTGTAGAAGATACTGAAGGTTCTAGGAACCTAACAGAAGTGAGTGAGCAGGATCAATCTGAAGCAAAATTATAAATTACTCAAAAGGTGCCTTCAGCAAGCTCTTGGCTCCCTTTCTATACTCTGTCTGCATCAGTTTCTTCATCTCTAAAATGAGGATAATTAAAAGCACCCATCTCCCAGGGTTGTTGTGAAGATCAATTAAGATAATATTTGAATAGTGCCTGGCACATAGTCGGCAATTAATAAATGGCTTTTCCCTTCTTTCTCTTTCCCCCTACCTCACAAGGTTGTTATGAGGATCAATGGAGTTAACACATAAAGCATTTTGCAAACCTTAAAAGGGCTAGATAAATTTTAGCTATTAGTTCTTCTTCCCTTTAAAAAAAAAACACTTTGCTGTAAGGGATGGCTCTCTGAGAGTAGGAGGGGAAGGGACACTGGGAAATTTAGATTCTATAGAAACAAAAATATCAATAAAAGGTTTTTTTTGTTTTGTTTTGTTTTGAAATCTACTCCCTTTACTCTGCCCTGAGAGAGGCTTGTTCATTGTATTCTTCCCAGTAAATTTCACCCAAGGCCTTTTAATTTGCTGAGTGCTGACAGTAAACAGAACACCTGACTGCCATAGCTCCATCATGTTCTTGGTGAACTTTGTGTTGGCTTGGGGAAAAGGGTATGGGGGGGGGAGGTTAGTTGTTCATTTTTTGCCTTGGCAAGGCACTGATTGGAGAGCAAGAATTCTGGGTTTTCGCAGGCTGTGGGAGCTTTCCAATTGACTCTAGCTGCTTTACCAGGTTTCCTTTTTTTCTATCCATAGCTGATTCAGACGGTGAGCGCAATAGACCAGGATGACCCACAAGATGGTCAGCACTTCTACTACAGCTTGGCTCCTGAAGCAGCTAACAACCCCAACTTCACTCTAAGGGACAATCAAGGTAATGAGAGTGGCCACAGACTGTTAGCTATGGCCATGCTCTTTTTGAGAGTTGGGCTGGTGATGCTTTCCATTACAATGCTATTTCCAGTAACACTAAGTGATACCTGTTGATTGGAGAGGACTTCAAGGTCATGTGGTTGTGCCCATTTTTCTCTAAAGCATGTTCCCCAGCTACCAGGGAACACACATATTCCTGCTGCAGGCTTGTACATCTGGAGCTGAGGGAGACTTACTATTGATTCATAAAGGTTTGCTCAAAGGTAGGAGAAATGCAGCCCTGAGCTGGTATGGGGAAGAGAATCTGGCTGTTCTTTTGACAGCTAGTGCCTTTTTAAGTGTCTCCACAGGGTGTCAGGGTTGAAGCATCTTCCCCTCTGGCTCCAAACATTCCTTTCATTTCCCTGACTGGCTATGATTCTTTTTTATTGCTCTGTCGATGTGGTGAAAGAATTTAGAGAAGGTGGGAGAAAATGAGCCGGAAAGGAGAATCAGCAAAGCCAGAGAAGAGCATTTGGATGACAGAGACAAGAGGAGGAGGGGAAGTAGTAAGCAAATCTTGGAAAAACATTGAAGAAGAGCAGAGATCATTAAGGGTTAGGATACAGCCATCACAATGCTCTTTCAGTATGCCTAGTTAATGCAGTGCATAGAGCATGAGGTGTGGAGTCAGGAAGATTTGAGTTCAAATCCAGACTCAAACTATTATCATCATTATTATTATTACTATTGTTTTTATTGTTATTGTTATTCTTATTAATTTCCCTATTTAAAGGCAGCTACACAGCGCAGTGGATAGAATGCAGGGCCTGGAGTCAGGAAAACTTATTTCTCTGAGTTCAAATCCAGCCTCAGACACTTACTAGCTGTGTGAACTTGGACAAGTCAGTTAACCTTAGTTGCCTCAGTTTCTTTATCTATAAAATGAACTAGAGAAGGAAATGGCAAACCCCTCCAGTATCTTTGCCAAGAAAACCCCAAATAGAGTCACAGAGAGTCAGACACAACTGAAAAATGACTAAACAAAAATCCCCATATTACAGATGAGGAAACTGAGATTGAGAGGATCCATAATTTGCCCAAGTTCAAGCAGTTAAATAAGTTCTGAGGTGAACTTGGGCAAGTCATTTAATCTTTCTCAACCCCAGTTACACTATCTGGAAAATGGGGATAATTATAGCACCTACCTGACAGGCTTGTTGTAATGATCAAATGAGATAACATATTCAAAGGGCTTTGCAAACCTTAAAATGCTATCTACATAAATGCTAGCTATTATTATTTAAAAAATACTTCATACCTTTTTAAAAATCATCATTAGGGTTCTTCAATTATCTGGACATCTTATGAAATCTATCAACTTTTTATCCACTCATTTCTTACTCCTGAACTGAGTTAACTTAATTAGTATTTTTGATTGTCTAAAATACTAAAAACTATGTGGCCATTAAAATTTAATACAAAACTGAAATCCATAATGCCTAATTTTCTTATTCTTCTTAACATATGAGTCAGACAGTGCAGGTAGTATTATGTGTAGTTAAGAGGGCAATAGAGTGGGAGTCAGGAAGACCTAGGTTCAAATCCTGCCTCAGGCACTTACTTGCTAGATGATCCTGACTTAACTTCTCTGTACCCCATTTTCCTCATCTATACAATGAGGCATTTGGATTAGGCATTCTCTAAGTTTCCTTCTAGCTCTCCTTCAACCTCATCAGAGCTAACATTTATATAACACTTAAAGACTGTCAAAGTGTTATACATTGTCTTACTTTATGTTCCCACCTCTGTGAAATGGGTTTACAGCTATTATTACCATTGTTTCTTTTTTCAGATAAGAGAAGCTGTGCCTTGGCTATGATCACACAGGTAGTAAAGGGCATAGGTGGATGCTAACTCACCCACTTGACTTTAAGGGGCAGCTGACTCATGAACAGAGAATTGTATCTAGAGTCAGGAAGGCCTGAGTTCAAATCTGAACTCAGATATTTATTTATCAGCTGTGTGACTCTGGGTAAGTCACATCACCCTTATTTGTCTCAGCTTCCTCATCTATAAAATGAAGAGGTTGGACATGATAATCTCTAAGGTTTTTTCCTGCTCTAAAATTCTATGCATCTATTATTCTTCCAACCATACAAATATTCTGCTACTGTTGATAATTATGATACTTATATATAGGAAGTAAATCTATATACTAGTGAAAAAAATTAAGTGAAAACACGTATTTCAATAATAGCAGAAGAGCTTTACCTTCTCTACCCAGGCTGCAAACAGAATGGGTAGCAAATATAGCATCTGGTCACCATAACCCAAGCACCAAAGGTGTTAGTGTAACCTGGAACCAGGCAAGGGAATAGGGGAGACTATACTGTGGTTATAAAGGGGCCATTACTTGGGGTCACCAAAGGACCATGAGGTACAAGGTCAGTAGGCTAGAACATTACTAGAGGGAAGCACACATCTCTAAATTTCAAGACCCTCTCAGACAAAACTGCAGTCTCCTTAACTAATTATGACTCAATCTAAAAAGAGCAACTATTAAACTAATTTTAATCTAAAAATAGTAAGTATTTATAGCCTTCCATTAAATGGAGCCTGCTTTCAATATGAAATCCAATATTTAATATGAAGAAACAAATTATTATTCAGCATGATACAATGGAAAGATAACTGGCTTTGGAGTCAGAGAACCCTGGTTCATATCCCACTTCTGATACTACTATCTGTGTAACCTTGGGCAAATCATTTAATATCTCTGGGCCTCAGTTCCTAATCTACAAAATGAAGTGATTGGATAAAATGGTCTCTAAGGTCCTTTCTACTTCCAAGTCTATGGATCTATAAATAGCATCACCTTCTACCAATTTATGCTAACCTCTTTAAAGCAGTCTTGTTTCCTCTGTATTATTAATGCTGTAGGGAGTACATTTGTAATGTCATTGGTATAGGGAATTCCAAAGTGAAGAAATTTCTTTTACCTATTCAGGTTAGCACATTCTCACCGTTGGTCTTAGAGAGTTGTCTAGAGCACTAAGAGGTGAACTGACTTGCCCAGGGTCTCATACATAATATGTGTCACAAATAGAACTCAATCCCAGGTTTTCCTGTCTTTGAGGCCAACTTTCTATCCAGCAAGCCATACAACCTCTCCAGAATTCATTTTGTAAAATACTTAAGAAAAAGTGGATAGTAATGAATACTCATAATTGGAGATACCTTGATCTTGGTGTCAGACACACACCATCCCCCAATGTTTTTTTAGATCAAATTCAACTGAAAAAAAATATTAAGTACCTGTTATGAAGATCGTGGTGCTAGGTACTAGAATTGAAGGGGTGCTGGGTGAGGGAAATACACAGATGAATTAAGATAAGGTCTTTGTTCTCATGAAGTTTATATTGTCCAGCTAACAGGAAGATTCCCATTCTTTTCCTTAGTTCTTTGCAAACTCACTTTAATCTCCCCTGCTACAATGGCTGATCTCACAAATCTCTAAAAATATCAAAACTACTTTTTTTTCAGATTTCCCCATTTGTATCACAGAATGACTGAGATAATTCTATAGGAAAGTCAACAAAAATCTCAATCTGAAATAGCCATATTCCATGACCTTTGACATTTTGTTGGTCAGGAGTTATCTGTGTAATGTGGAAGTATGTTTAAAAAAAGAAGTTATCTGTGTTTTCCATTTATCTACTTTAGAGGGAACCCTGCTTGCAAAAAAAGTCTTTGACCCCTCATGAGTAGGTTTTGGAAAGAAAATCATAGAAAAGAATAAAAGAACTATTGATTTCTAGCAATCATATCACATACTATCAGACTGCTTGTAGAGTGTTTAGGCATTTTTTTCCACACTAGCATTTGTTACTATACCTACATAGAGAAAAAAATATGTTGCAGAATATTGGGCCCAAGATTTCTTACAAGTTACTGTAGGTCCCTTTCCAGTACCAATTTTTAGAGCCAACACCCGTACATGAAAGGCTAGTAGAGCAGGGACAGCTAGGAAAAGGAAATGATTCATCTCTTGGGATGGTCTCAAAAACACTGGTCAGCAAATTTTCAACAAAAGGCATAAACTTTTAATGTCTTACCATCACAATTTTCTCTACAAGTACACTTTACTGTAGAACGCTTAGGAAAGCTCCGAGACTCCCAAATCCATAATGTGTTTGTGAAAGGACATTGCCCTCAAAGAAAATGCAGATCTCTGATCATGTCAGTACCCTACTCAACAAATTTCGGGGCCTCTCTATTATCTCTAGGATCAATATAAGCTTCTCTTTTTTACTTCCGAAGCCCTGTACAATCTGACCCCAACCTAACTTTCCAATCTTATTATACATTGCTCCCCTTTACTACAGTCTACACTCTTGCCAAACTGGCCTTCCTGCTCTCCTCACGTACAACAATCTAGCTCCCATCTCCACACCATTGGGCTGGTTGTCTTCCTGACCTGGAACATACTTGTACTCACATATCGATCTGCTTTCAGTACAATAGCACTGCATGATACATTAAAACGTAGAAAAGACACACTCCCTGCTCTCATGGAAATTGTGGTCTAGTAGGGAGAAAGACACAAATGTCAATAACTATAATGTATGTAATATTTCATGATAAATGTCACAATTAACCATATTAATTTGTCAGGAAATTCTTATAGATTGTGGCCTTTTCCCACTGTGCTAAACACTTTTACAAATGTTGTCTCATTTGATTCCCACAAAAACCCTTCAAGGTAGGTGCTATTATTATCTCTAGCTAACAGTTGAGGACATCATGAAAGGTATTATGTAGGAGGGATTGTTTGAGCAGTTTTAAATGGAAATACACCAAAGTTCTATCAAATCTGAGATTTCATCAAGGTGGATATTCTCTCCAATAATGCAAATGAAAACCCATCAATTCTGGACCAGTTTGTGGGATAGTCATAAAATTCTTTGCATGCAGTTACCATGGAAGTCCATCCCACATGTTTCGAACATTCCGATATTTCAAGGCTATCAATAAAGTAATTGCCTGCCCATCAGGTGTCTCCTGCTTTCACTCACTGACCTGCCCATTCTGGTCATTCATTTTTCAGATGCCATCCTTCATGTATCTTCTGATGCGAATTCCTCATTTATAATATGTTGCATCCTTTTCACAACCACTTTCTCCTTTTGAGTGATCTTCAACTTCAGGTTTCAAACTCAGATTCCATAACTTATAGATTTACGATGTCATGATATTGGATGGAAATGAATATAGATGGTTCGTAATTTCAGAGAGGTGACTGGGATCATTAAGAGAACCATGAAATTTCCCAAAGGCAATCCAGCCTACTTCCCTCTTCCTGGCCAATTCTGGTACCAGCTTATTAACTTTTTGCAGTGTCCATGATATATAATTATAGATATATCTATACTATATGTTTGTATGTATACACACATATACATATGTGTGCATGCATATATATGTATGTATATATACATACATATATATATATATATAAACACATATTGATAGATACACGGGTTTTTGAATGATGGGTCCTAAAGACTAACCATCCAATTACAAACCTTAGTCTAGACTAGGGGTCAGCAAACTGTAACATAAATAAATGGTCAAATACATAAATAAATAATCAAATAAATGACTAGATAGATAGATAGATTTTGTTATACTGATTAACTACTTGAACTTTTCAGTGTCACTATTAATATGCTCTAATGCATTTCTCAAACACTTTCTCTCCTCAAATCTATTTTTGCAAAAGAGAACCTGTTCTATAGTTTAGACATACTTGAAGAACATTGAGAATATGGAAAAATTATTATAGAACATCATATTGCATATAGTTCAAACCTAAATTAGAGGAAATTTGATGTACTTATGCTATATAGTTTATATAGCTAATATATAGTTTTGGGCAAATGATACCTAACACTAGCTAACTTTTTATCTAGGATTTTAATATTTATGATTTAAAAATCCTTTTTATCTTTCCACACTGTTATCTCATTTGAGTCCTACAACTACTCTAGGAGGGAGATATATATATTTTGTTTTTATCCCACTATATTTCTTCCCCAACCCCTTCAAGAACATCATGCCTTATAATCAAATCATAAAAAAGAAGAAAAAGAAAGTTTATCAAAACTAAGCAACACAAAGAAAAAGTCTGACATTACGTGCAGTGTGCCACAGCTATAATCCCTGTTTTACATTTGAAGAAACAGAAGACACATAGATAGTAAAGTCCAACGTGAGATTTGAGAACTGAGGTCTCTCCTGACTTTAAGATCTTAATATGGGCTCCATAAACTTAAGGTTTTTAATATATTTTCATAATTATATTTCCATAAAATTGGTTCCACTTGTAATTCTATATATTTTATATTATGTATTTAAAAACATTATCTCGAGAAAGGGTCTATAGTCATCATCAGACTACCAGAGAGGTCCATGACATAAAAAGGTTAAGAATCCCTGAACTTCATCATGATCAATTCCATAGAAAGAGAGTGAGAGGAAGAAGGAGAGGGAGAGGAAGAGGAAGAGAGAGAGGGAGAGGCAGAGGGAGGAAGGAAGGAAGGAAGGAAGGAAGGAAGGAAGGAAGGAAGGAAGGAAGATCTTGATGCTTCAGCTACCAATCAAAGTCAAACCTCCCCCCAGCTGATCTCCAAGTCTGTCTAAGTTTTCAAGTTAGAGGCATCTCTACCTTCAGCCCACCCATGGGAAAGTGGCAGTAGCCCACAACTAGAGGATTTCAAATAAGCTTCTGCTAAAAAAACACCCTTTTCCAAAGGCACCAAGAGGATGTGACGGCTGCCTTTGAGGGGACAAAAAAGAAAATAGTAAAGGACATGAGCTCCAGACAAGCTGGAATGTGACAGAAATAAGCAATCTGCCATAATCACCAAGGTTGCTCACTGAGGTCTCCTTAGCCTCTTTTTTTTCCCTTCTTTTTTTCTTTTAACTTTAGGCTCAAAGCAGCCATAAGGCCTTGAAAAACTGCTGAGCAGGAATAAACAGGGACCAGAGTAGCCCTTGATTATTCATTTCTGTCTGGCTTTCCCTAAGACACTTTGGTGAGATCTGAGGGCTGACAGTTAGCCCTGGGCAGTTTATGTCACAAAGAAAAGGACACTCTCCTGAAAAGGCCCTGCCTCCCCAGTTTCAATGTTTTGCCTGGAAGCAAGTAAAAATCAGACAGGGAAACAGAGGCCAAATGCTGATAGATGCAACACCAGGGAGAGCACAAACATGGGAACATCACAGAGGCTTGTCTTCCTGTCACTCTCCTCTCTTCTTTCTTCCCTCATCAGAAAAGTTGAATTCACTTGTTTGTGTACCTTCTCCTTCCCACCTTTCTCTTCCTCTCCCTACCTCTTCCAACCCAACATTTTTTCTTTTCCCATCCCAGACAATACTGCCCGGATTCTTACCAGGAGGTCTGGCTTTAGACAGCAGGAACAGAATGTCTTTTACCTCCCCATCCTGATTGCAGACAATGGAAGGCCCATGCTGAGTAGCACGGGCACACTGACAGTCCAGGTGTGCAGCTGCGATGATGAGGGTGATGTGATGTCCTGCAGCGCTGAGGCCTACATGCTCCCGGTCAGCCTGAGCAGGGGGGCCCTCATCGCCATCCTCGCCTGCATCTTTGTTCTCCTAGGTAAGTGGTCATTGTCCTAGTCGATTGCATCCTGAGCAATGAGTACTAGCTTTGGAAATCTTAATTAATGCTTTATGTAAAGCATATTCGGGGCAGTATGTGTCACAGTGGGTAGAGTACCAGGCCTGAAGTTAGGAAGACTCAACTTCATGAGTTCAAATCTGGCATCAAACACTTACTAGCTATGTGACCCTGAGCATGCCACTTAACCCTATTTGCCTCAGTTTCCTCATCTGTAAAATGAGTTGGAGAAGGAAATGGCAAACTAATCCAGTATCTTTGCCAAGAAAACACCAAATGGGGTCACGAAGAGTCAGACACAACTGAAACTACCGAACAACAACAGGAACTCTAAGAGGCAGAGGTGAGAAGTACATTCCAGGCAAGCGGATGGGTGGGGAGCCAGGACAAAGGTAGGGGGAAGGGAGCTGGAGTGTTGCAGGTGAAGAACAATATGAAGACCAGTTTAATTGAACTGTGATGTGCACAAAGGGGAAAAACAAACGTCATAATGGAAAAGTAGGTTTGGGAAGGGGGGTTATGAAGGACTGTGAATTCTCAATGGAAAATCATACCCACATTTGCAAGAGACTTCAGAATGTTTTCAATGCAACACATCAGAATCATAGAACTTTAGAAACAGACCAGATAAATCATCTACCTCATGATGATTATATTCCCTCCCATTATAGTGGGAATCAAATGAGATAATGTCTATAAAACGCTTTTGTAAACTACAAAGCACTAGAGCAGAGGATTCAGTCCAAGGGCCAAACTTGAGGGCCTAGAGGGCCACATGTGGCCTCAAGGTGGCAGGTTCCCCACCCCTGTGCTAGAGAAACATCCACTATTGTTATTCTTGAATCCTCACTTTATAGATAAGGAAGTTGAGGTGTGGAGATGTGAAATGATTTGCCAAATGTTTCAGAACTAGTGAATGGCAGAACAAGGACTAGAAGACAGTTTAGATGTCTCAGTCTCCCCAGCTTTCATAGTATTTGAGTTATTTCCAAAAAAATATATAGTATAGTAGAAAAAGCCTTGGACTTGAAGTCTGGAGACACCTGGGTTAAAATGCTACCTCAGAAACTTGCCAGATGGGTGACCATAGGCAAGTAGGCTCAACTCTCTGTGCATCAGTTTCCTTATCTGTAAAATAGTGATAATGGCAGCACCTGTTTCATCAGGTTATTGTGAGGACCAAATGAAATAATGTATAAAAAGGGCTTTGCAAACCTTAAAATGCTATATAAATATCAGGTGGGATTATTAAGCAAGGATACTGCTCAGCACTTTGTTCTATCCATCAATCTATCAATCAATCGACAAGGATTTCTCAAGTACCTGCTATGTAGCTAAGTGGCACTGTTTTAAGAGTTGAGACAATCCATACTCACTAGAAGTTTCCATTATAATGGGGGAGAAAATAAGGAAAGAGAGATAAATAGAGAGAGCATAAATAGAAAGTGAATAAATACAAATGTGTACAAAATAATTTAACGCAAGGTAGTTTGGGAGAGAGGGTACTAGCAGTTGTATCACTGGCATTTTCCTGGCACTTAAAGTAGAAACCTGGTGGGCACTCACGTGGCAAGGGATGATAATGGAGGCAGCTGCTTTGAATGATGGCTTCATTATAAGCATTAGAGGTCAACAGAGAAGCCAAAGAAAATAAAACTACCTAGATCAAATTCCTAACGCCTTCACATGGAAAAAAAAAAAACTGCTTGATCTAGATCCACGAGGCAGGTGGGACCTCAAAGTCTTATTACCACCCAGTCTTTCCCTAACAATAATTGATATTAAGCCAATTCTGAACAACTGAAACGTGTGCCCAGCTGGATACTCACTAATCTCAAAACTACATCAACTGTATCCTGGACTCTTCTCCCCCATATATTTCCAGCTCATTTCTGACATCCTCACGGAAACTGGAACTCAGCGTGAATTAACCATTAAGCTATAGAGGCAAAAGTTAGTCTTATACAAGTATCCCTATTAATTTCACTGTACAAAACATGTTATACAACAGTCTCGAAAGAATTAAAAATGAGTATCCCACAGAGGGCAAGGAAGAAGATATAGGGGATGTGAGCAGGCTACAATGTTTACCCACTGAGGAGCTCCAGAGACCAGATCAGATCATAGAGTTAGAAGGAATTTTAGAGGCTAGCTAGTTCAACCCCCTAATTTTTTTTAAAAAAGATGAGGAAATTAGGACACAAAGGTTAAGTAACTTACTTCAAGTTATAGAAGGTGTACACGGCAGAGCTGAGATTTGAACCTAGACCATCTAATCTAGAAGCTATGCTCTTTCCCCGCGCCTCACTGCTTCTTAGAAAGCTTCTGAAAAGAAAAGAAGATGGGCTGGTCATTCACAGAGAACAAGAGATGACGTCAGGTGGGAGCCAGGGTTCTCAGATGGTATTCTCATACTATTAAAAGAAAGTGAGAAAGTCTCCTAGCGCATTGAGTGGATCCCCTGTGGCAGACTTCTGGAGGACATGAACAAGGGGCATGCATCTTGGCAGGCATGGCTAGGTTGTAGCCAGCATCATTAGAGAGCATATCCAAATTAATGAAGTCACAAATCCAAATCCATCTGAGTGTTTGAGTAAACAATCATGAGGTCAATAGGCAAAGTGATGCAGTAAGGGGAGTTTGTCTTCGGCAGTCATTTTGATTTATTTCAAATCTAATGTGTATATTGAACTTATTCTATATGTCAGGCACTGTGCTAAGTAATGGCGGCTACAGAGATGTATAAGACAGTCCCTTTTCTGAAGCAGATTCCCCTCTTATTTCCCCTGTTTGCATTTTGCACTGCTCCACCTTCATAACAGGAACCTACTTCCCCAGGTACTCTTGTCTTCCTTGGACCTCCCCCCTTCCACCTTATTTCTTCCTCTTTTTCCCCTGTCAAAACCTACCTGTTCTGTGCCCTAATCCTTCAGGGACCAGGTGGAAATTGCTAATGATTGACAATCACTCAATTAACAAGCATTTATTGAGCAACTTAATGAGTTATCCCTCCCAGGAATATTTGTACCTTAACAGAAAACAAAACCTAATGCTAGGTAGAATTTAAGATATCACCAAAAGTTCGAAGGAGATATCTGGGGCCTTGAGGTCTTTTCTACTCCCGTCAGATCACACCATAGCCAGGCATCCTTTATGGAGGGAAACTTGTAGATTGAAAAAAATAACAGAAGACCTGGGTAGGCTCTACCACATACTTGTCATTTTACTTTAGGTTTTACTTCTTTGAAGCTGTTTCCTCATCTAAAAAATGGAGATAATGTTTTAGTTATCTATTTCACATGTCTGTGAGAAGAGTGCTTTGTAAACTATAAAGCACTGTGTAAATATGACCTAATATTAAATATGACTTCCCTTATGACAAAGGGAACTTCTCCTCCCCCACCCCGACTTTTTCTTCCACGGGCTTTCCCAAAACTTAAATATGATCCTGAGAATACAATGTCTGGAATGCATACACATTCTCATGACTGAGAATCAAGTTATGGAGAGAAGATTGAGGGGTTGACTATAATAGTTTACAGTGGATTTTTTTGGTGGGATATCACAAAAATGGTTATTTAGATAACATTAAACATGGAAATGGTCACCTGTTTATGCAGTTTGTAAATATCCAAGGTAGAGACGGATGTGTTAAGTTTTCCATTGTCTCAGCAAAATCAAATGAAAAGAAGTTTCCTGCTTCCAGATGAAAACCCAAAAAGTAGCATGGTGAGGCCTACAGAATTTCAGAGCTGGAAGAGATCTCAATGACCCATCTAGCCCAATCAAACAACTGCTGAAAAATAGTTCTGTCTACAAAAAGGAAAAAGAAGAGTTCTTACTCACAAAGAGCTTACATTCTGATGGGGGAAGCCAACACATAAAAGGAAGCCAGACAGGGCAGGGGAGGGTATTCTGTTGGGGACAAAGATGCTAGTGGGGCCTGCATCTCAAGGGAGAAGAAACCCATTACTTAGCAAAACATTTGGGTAATGTTCACATCTGCATAGCTCTACTTTTGAGGAAATTTCCCCCTCCACCACACATAATTCTATTTCACAACTTCTATCATTGTTCCTAATTATGCCCTCTATTATTAAGCAGAAAAAAATTTTTTGCTCTCACCTTCCATTTAATAAGCACTTGAAAATAACTCCCTTAAGTATTACTCCTCTACAGATTGAATATCCCTAATTTTTTTTTAAGAAGGATAGCTAGGTGGTTAGGAAGACTTGAATTCAAATCTGGCCTCAGATACTTACTAGCAAGTTACTTATCCCTGTTTGACTCAGTTTCCTCATCTGTAAAATGAGCTGGAGAAGGAAGTGGCAAACCACTCCAGTATCTTTGCCCAGAAAACCCTAAATGGGGTCACAAAGAGTCAGACACGAGTAAAAGAACAACTGACCAAACAACAGCCTCAATTTCCTTATTTGCAAAATGAAGAGGTTGGACTCAATGTCCTCTAAGGTCCCTTCCAGATTGAAATATATGATCCTATGAATTTAGTTCTACATGAAAGAAAGCAAATCATAGAATGAGCTTTAAGGATCTTTAGAGATCAAGTTTCTTTTATACATGATAAAACGAGGCCCAAAAAGATTAAATAATTTGGCTGGGTTCACACATCTGTGAATGTTACAAAACATAGATCTTCTGACTCTTAGTCCTGTATTCTTTCTGCCACACTCCACGGATTCCCATATAACCTTCGGAGATTCTGGGAATCCTGGAGCCTGAAAAATACCCCCAGGTTTCAGTTTCCTCTTCTGTAAAAAGAAGAGGTTTGACTCAGTGACCCCTTGGGTCTCTTACAGCTCTAACTTTCTTCACTCTCTGATTCCTCTTGTTTTCTACCATTGATAACAGAGCGGAAGAGAATCTTATTGCAATTCCTCACATACCCACAGGATGGCATGAGTAGCACTCAGGTAGCTGAATGTCCCAAACAGCAGCAGGAATGAAAAGCTATTTACCCT